CCAGCACCTAAAGGACCAGGAGGGCCTTCTCAGGCTTGATGGAAGGTGGTCTCTGCCCCAGGCTTCCACGATGTGGAGTTCTTAAATCAGCTGTGTTCATGGACTAGAGGCCAATAATGTCCAGGTGTTGTCCCAGGAAATAATTTTAACCAAAAGCTTCAAATTCTTGTCAGACTTTTTATTTTCTCTGCTACCAAGAGTACAAAATTTGACTTGGATTAGCTGCTGCTTCTGAGCTCTTCCTCCTTTCCTTCTTTGATGAAGGGGCCATTGTATTACTTTTATACACTGGCCCTCCTTCCCTCTTCTTTTCCCTCTCTCTCTTCCTTTCTTTTGTATTTTCCCTGTGCCCTTTTCCCTTTTCTTCTGTGTACCTCTATCCCTCCTCCTTCCTTCCCAGAATAGGTGACCTTTAAGCTCCCTCGCAGCTCTAAATGTGTAGTTCCACCATAGCCCTATCTAGCTGGTTTTTTCCCCTTTCCCTTCCTTTATTCTCCTGATAAGGAATAAAGGGATTTGGGGGGGGGGAATTGGGTTGGTATATGGGGGGGTATTTTTAATCATTTTTATTATTTGTGTCTACATATATTCAGGGTAATTTCCTCACAAACATATATAGAGTTGTTCTCAACTAGAGAAATGGTATTTAAGAATTAGACAAAACCTAAGCCTAGCATGTGACTCCCAGGCATCTTCCTTGTGGTGCTTTCTGTAGAATGCATTCAGTAAATACTAAATAGAAATGCTGTGATGAATGCCAATTACTCTAGTTCCACAGGATGGCAGTGTTGTAACATTTTCATGATATAATGAATGATTTACAACAGTCATAGTGTATTTTCTTAAAGTTTACAACTTTCGTAGCAAGCCCCTTTGACCTTGATTTGAACAATGAGAAGAGATAGCCCAGCATCATGAGCAGCTTCCTCAGGGTCTCCAAAGGCTCTCAGTGAAAAGGAGCCCAGCCAAGGAGTGCTGATGGCAAGGAATCTGGATGGACTGCTGTTGGGTTAGGCCCTTTGCAACAAGATAGAGAGTTGTAGTATACACTTGCTGTTGGGTGCATGTGTGAAGAAGGGAAAGTGATATGTCCTTGGGAGCTCCTATAGCAGTTTGTTCTACTCACTTGTGGCACTTAGCACATGCTGCCTATCAGGGTTATTTATACGCATGGCTTCTGTCCTTGGCGGGTCTGGGGCTGGTTCAGCACCTCAGCATTCCTCACTTTACCCACCACATACAAGGCATTCAGTATATATAGGTTGACTCAATGGGATATACCGAGCTTAGGAAAGCTGGGAGGTCCTAAAGAAATGGTTCGATACAATGGACATTAATACTTTTTAGATGGCATATGCCATGATAAAAATAGGGAGAAAGATGGGAAGGGGCTAGATTATGGAGGCTCTAAAAGCCCAGAGGATTTCCTGTTTGACCTCGGAGGCCATAGGAAGCTAGGGGAGTTGATTGAATGGGAGAGGGGGGTTCAATTTCGAATTTTTAGGAAGGAGGGTCAAGGATGCAAGAGACGGGAACTAGATCACAACAACTCTAGTTGAATTACAAAAAGGATCAAGATGAGGAAGGGAGGAGAGGATAACCAGTGCAAAGGGATATCCTGGGAACACTACAAAGTGATAGAGGGGTTGGAGGTCACAGTGAAGGTGAAGGCCAGGCTATGGGAGGCTGCAAGGTAGAGAGAGACGTGGAATGACAACAGATCACAATCAGATAGAGGGATTTCAGAGTTTTGTTTTTTTGGGAAGGTATGACCGTCTCTATATGTAGTTGAGGTGGGATAGAGGAATAGGTCACAGGATGTGATACTGCAAAGGTGACATCAGCAGGTCTTGGCAATGTATTGAATATGGAGTAGGCCAGGGCGGGGGGCTGATAAGTGACCAGAATGTGTCCAGAATGACTCCTAATTTGAGAGACTGGGAGGTTAGGAAAGGTAAGAAGTGGGGAGGATTTAGGGGGAAAGATAATGAATTTTGTTTTGAACATAATGAGTTTAAGATCTACTAGACATCTAATACAAGTTGTTTGAGAGGCAGTTAGAATGAGATTAGAGGTGAGCAGAGAGATTGGGGTAGGAAAGGTAGATTTGAGAACCATCCACACAGAGATGGTAATTCAATCCATGGGAGCTGATGAGATCTCCAAATGAGGTAGTATAGAGGGAGGAGAGAAGAGGGCCCCAGGACTGAACCCTTCGGGACACCTCCAAATTTGATCTGTCCCTTTCAGAAATCTGGATCCACCAGGGTTTGGCAGTAGACAAGTCTATACAGTCAGAGGATTTTAAAGTGGAAAGGGATGGAAGTAACCACGTCAGTACTGCACCCTGCCCTCAGCAGCAGACAGTGGCAGTGTCCCCTTCTGATTGCACACTATACTCATACTAGAAGTCACCTCGTTTCTGCCATCTAGACAACAAACCACCTTAGTTGTTCAGCTCAGCAGATGTGCTCAGTGTCTGCTGGAGACAAGGCACCTGCCAAGTATGCATTTCTTGAGGTGGTTGGGAATCTTCTGCTTTTCATTTGGAGCCATCCAGGTACCTCTTCCAGGCATTAGGAAGTTGGTGCCCAAGAAGCCTCATTAATTCTTGAGAATGTTCCTTGGTGTCTACCTACAGTTGAGCCACAGAAACTTCTTTCCTGCCTCCTGAGCTCTTGGAGGGTTGGGATTTTGCATGGTTTTTTTGTGTGTGTGTCCCATGGAGCATCAAGGGTGGTGGTGTTTGCCCAGTTTCCCCATTTGCACAGAGGCCTCTCTGGCCAAGACTGCAGCTCTTTCTTTCTGGGACAGGGGCTGACTTTGCTCCAACCTTGGTCTCTAGACTCCACCATGACCCCTTCCCCACCCTTCTGTTTGAACTTGTCACTAGGAAGTCCTTTCTAACTTCAACATGCTGTCACGTTACTATTTCAAATCGATTGAACTTGATGTATTGGCTGATTCTCAGTGACATAGAACCTTTCTTGATCCAGCTGAAAATAATCTCAACCTTCTCTGAATTAGCCTTTAGTTTCCCGGTTGTAAAATGAGATGATCGTCTTTGTACTTTGTCACTGGGCTTTGAAGAAAATGCTTTGTAAATTTCAGGGGGTGATGACAAACGTGGGCTTTTATGTTCTTTATTCTCCTTATTGCACCTGGTAGTACAGTTGCTTGTGGATGGACATGTCCTCTTTTCCCTCCTGGAGTATCAGCTTCTTGAGACGTGGCATTGGTGGGATTGAGGTTCTTTTTCTTTATGTCCCACAGTTCATCAGCTCTGGTGGTGGAGGGAGGCATTCAATAAATGTTCGAACAAGCTGAATGTATCATTTCTGGAATAGCTGCCTGTCTACGGCTAATCCCTTATGTGGTTTGTGGATTTTTATGAATTTAAATCCTAGGCAATTCCTGCCCATCTTTCTAGGCTCATGACCATAGATTTGGTCCTATGAGAAATGGTCAAATCTAAACGCTCATTTTGCGGATGAGAAAATTAAGAAACAGAGAGGATACATGGATGCTTCAGTCATTTCTTAATCTTGATATTGGAGTCTTTATTGATGTCTCGGTTCATAGTCTATATCTACTATTGCCAATGGTTTGTTGTTTTTTTGTTTGTTTTTTTGTTTGTTTGTTTGTTTGTTTGTTTTTCCCAAGAAACATATTCTTTCCTGTGCAGTTTGGCTAAAATGAGAACTCAGTTACTCTGTCGTCTAGTAGCTTCTGACGCTGTTCAGGATAATTCGCTCCATATTTTAAATATGGAGATGAATTTATTTGCCAAGCGCTTGATGGTGCTGGTATACCTGGCCTGATATGTTTGGTGTGCATAAAAATCCAAGCACCTGTAGAAATAGAATTGAATCCTTGTTTTCCTTTTAAAGCATTTTAATTTCAGAGATGCTTCATCTTCATTGCAGATGAACCTGAAATTGGTGGCACCTCCAGACTGTTGTAATAACAGCTGCTTAGTAACCTGGGGGTCAAGTCAAGAACCCTTTATTATTTTCCCAGATGTAATTATTTTGTAAGCTCTTCTTTTATTAATATAGGACACATATGTACTCAGTGCCATATTGGATTTTTTTTTTAAAAAAAATTAATATTTTGTTTTTCTACCAAATTACCTGTCAAACACAATTTTTAACATTTGTTTTTAAAATTTTTTAAGCTACAAATTCTCTTCATTCTTTCCTCCCTCCCTCTCCCCTGCCCCCCATTAGATGTTTTTAAAAGTGCAGAAATGAAGGTGCTGACTGGAGCTGCCTGTCTAGCCATCGATGCATGTCCTGCAGTGACTTTTGTCTTAAAAATATTAAACCCCTTGTTGACATTCTTCTACTCAGAAATGATACTGTGCTAATAACTAGTTGTTTAAAGTGACAGAAAGTATCCTGAGATTTTTGGAATCAAGCATATTGATGCTTCGTATTGATGCTCCTGTTGGTGAGAAGTTGGTGTAAAACATGCATAGTTAGGATTGATAAAGCTCCTAAAGGACAAGCATAATGTGCCCCCTCAGATACAGTGCTCTGTAGCTGCAGACCCCTCAGCGTCTGAGATGTCGGTGACTTGAATGATGCCTGTTTCTTCCTGTGGTAGGGCTCTAGCCTGTTGAGGTAGAGAGAGGTCAGGCAGTTGCTTAGTAGCCCAGCAGAGAGGGAAGTTGGGCCTCCCGACCTCACAGGACAACGAGCAGTACCTCAAGAGTTCGGACCTAAAGGAATATGCTGGGAAGAAGGCAAAGTATTGGTCAAGGAGAATTTTTTTCCTTCCCAGACCTGTAACTTCATTGGTACAGGCAGAGAAACTCTGCCAGTGTCTTTTAATAACCATTTAGCAACTTTCAGTCACATAAAATAATGTCCTAAAAAAGTCCTGTGAACAAACTGTCAATGCAGAATTTCAAGACAAAAGTGGAACAGTATGTCTGCATAAAGTCTGGTGGTGCTTCTCGGGTATAATTTAATTTGCTTCCCATTTTGTCTTTGTAGCATATAGCACTTTCTACATCGTGGGTCTCATACTGTCCATGCAAATTCCTTTTGTGGGATTCCAGCCAATCAGGACAAGTGAACACATGGCCGCCGCAGGTACACAGAGGAGATTCGTTTTTCCTCTTCGTTGGGGTGGGGGGAAGAGGAGTAAGATTGGTCAATGGGGAAATTACCTGACACCTTTCATCATTGTGGCTAATTTGTAAAGGAAAAGCTTCTACAACAAGTAGGCTCCTATATACAAGGCACCTTTCTACCTTGTAGCTCTCTGTGAACTACAGTTGGCACGTACTCACCAGCAGCCCAGACGCACCAACCCTTATTTCTTAAATTTGACATGATACATACGTGTGTGTGCGCGCGTGCATGTGTGTGTGTGTATTCGTGTAAAATTGTATGCCTATCCTGTATAACAAACAGGCATAAATCTCTGTTGGTTTAACAAAAACAGAGTTCTTTGGGGCAGTTGTTGGTGTATAGTGACTGTAACAAAAATATTTCCCAAGACTGTTGGCTGGGAGTTGGGGATTCCAGTGATCCGCTTTTTGCTTGTTTTGACTATCTGATTTTCAGTTGTGGCTCAAGTTGGTTGCTACTATGAAATGATTGGATCTAGGACAACCCTTGAGTTAGAAGAAAGAGTCTTAGGGCATTTTCTGGCCACTCTCAAAGTTAGGGCTCCTCCACTCTCTGCAACACTGTGATAAGCTCATGTCAATGGTTTTTTTTACTTGGGCCCAAAGCAAGGGAGTGTCTTCACCCAGAGTAGAGTGAAGCCCTTCTCATTGTATCATTCCCACCATCTTAAGCAAACACACTTTCCCACTTACAAAATTCTAAACCTTACTGTTGTGCAGATTTTTAAAACATGCCCACATGTGGTCAGGAGCTCTTGTGCCGTTTTCAAAAACACTAGAAGGACGAAAAAAATACCTCTCCTCTCTTAAAAACATTACTTTGAAACATAAGAGAATTTTGTCTGTCATAGAGAGCTACGATTTCTTTTAAAACGAGTGCTAAGTTACCTTTATCATTGATTGTTGTTCTCTTGTACCTTAAGTCCAGTTGCATTTTGGATCCTTGATCAATAATCAATATACCACCTTAAAAAAAAAAAAAAGACGGCATAGCAAGAAGCCTCCCTCGATGTTGGCCTAGTGTACACCCAGCATTGGCTTCATGGCCACAAACATATTCAGTACAGTGTAGCCTGTTTATTAATTGTTCGATAAACATTTCCACTTTTGATGGGTTTGGCTACAGCATTTAATTGTAATTTAAGTTTTGTTCTTCTCATTAAAAGAAGAATTCTGTCAGTATTAAGTGATCTTGTAAAGAATATGTTAAGTACCACCCCCCTCAGTCGTAATTTACTAATATTCAACTGGACTGTCACTACCAACTTGGTGGGAAGAATAACTTCAAATCAATTGGCCACATAATCATTTTGTGACAAATTTTTTTTGTTTATCTACAAATAGAACTGCAAGTAAAACCAGTGTTGTTTGTGTGTGATCATAGCCACATTTACTTTGGTCCTAATTTTCCCTTTATCTAGATCTTTGACAACCTAGATTTTACAAAATATACAAAATAAATAGGGGAATAACACTCATTTTTTATTCAGTGAGATTCTTTAATTCCAGCTCTTATTTTATGCAATTTGAGGTATTGATTCTTTAAAAGAATTTATATATCTATTTTTTATTGCTCTGCCCCTTTATTTTAAATCATTCTAGTCAACTTTGTTTATTACTTTAGCTTCCAGAGCAGGTATTTCCAGTTAAAAAAAAATAATCAATCCAAATATGCTATCCCCTTGTTCTATGAATGTTAACCATTTATCAATTCTTTAGGGTTCTCCAGATTGTCAAAGATCCATCTTCTTTTCTACTAAAACAAAGCGAATCTAAGGGGCTTTGTTTTCTGATGTACATTTTCTTAACTACCATCTCACTGAAGGTTGTAGAGGGGAAGCATTTAATGTGGGGAATGGGATTGTTGCATTCAAAGCATGATTTATCTTGCCTGGTTTTCAATGGATGTTAACCTGTATACATCCACAGAGGAGTCAGAGATTAATTTTAGGAGCAAAAGGAATCTGCCTGGCTCTTACAGGATTTTCTGGAGAGCAGCATCAGAATGGGTAGATGAGACTCTCCTTCTCTTTGCTGGTAGAGCTGGAGTTGTTAACAGATTCCAAAGGCAGTCTTAATTTTGGTCAAAATAAGTTTTTGATACATTTTTTTTTAAAACCCTAGATAGAGCCTGTGGAAAGGTGTTTTTAAATGGGTTTATTAGAAAGTACTTTAGGAAACTGACTCCTTCACCTTCGAGTGGTACCGGCACATAAACACATTTTCTCTTTTCTTTAGGTGTCTTTGCACTGATCCAGGCATATGCCTTCCTCCAGTATCTCAGAGACAGACTGACAAAGCAGGAGTTTCAGACCCTTTTCTTCCTGGGAGTGTCCCTCGCTGCAGGGGCTGTGTTCCTGAGCGTGATCTACTTGACTTACACCGGTGAGTGGCATCAGGGCTGGAAGTGATCTCATGGACCGTGTGGTCGTACCTTTCCTTGGAGAAGAATCCCGTCTATGACACGCTCAATAGATGCTCTCACAGCCTCAGCTCAGCCACCTCTGTCCTCTTGTGGACAGCCGGCATGAAACCTCACTTGGAGTCTTTGAAATTGCACCCATTCATTATTCCTAAAATAGAACACTTCTAATGCATCTTTCAGGTGACAGTCCCTTCAGATGCTGGAAGATAGCTGTCATGTCCCAAGTGATCTGCTGTACGCTATAAACTGGAAGGCCTTCTGCGCTTGGTGGCCTTCTAAAATGTGGCTCCCAGAACTAAACAACCTGGGCGGACCACTTCTCAGGGACACTAGCCCCTCTTTATTCCTAGAAGTTTTTGTTTTGAGGGACTGGGAGGTAGTAGAAAAGATTTTATTTAACACAAGAAAAGTCTTGCTCATGGCCAAGACCTTTCCTAATCTGGAAGAGTGTCCTTGCCCCTCCCCCCAGTGCTGGGCCCCACTACCCTTGGGGAGCTGTAGAGTCCACATGCGTCACAGTACCAGGACAGGGACAGGCCTGGGATACTCCTTAGTCTCTAGAGAAGTGGAAGAGAGCTCAGTGAAATATTGGATACTTGCTGAGCGTCAGGCACTGTTCACACCAACAGAGCAACCAAGGCAGTCCTACCCTCGGGGAGCTTATAGTTCAGTGGGGGAGGACAACACACCCAGGGATGCTGGAAAGCAAGTCTGGGGGTGGGGTGTGGGAAGGGAGCAGTCTGCAAGTAGGGAGGAGGTAGAGTCTGGAGAGAGTGGGGCACAAAGTGTGTCTGGTTGCTTCCTAAGATGGTGGTCCTAGGGAGGGAGTCACCGATGAAGAAGAGGAGTCAGGACAGCAAAGAAGGAAAGGCGGGGAGGGCCCCGAGAGTGAGGGCAAGCACGGCCGGGCTCCTGGCCCTCTTGGATGCCAATCCATTTCCCCCTTTCAGGCTGTGCAGAGGGTTAATCTGTCAGCCTCCCTGCAGATCCAGCAGAAGTTGGGGTGCCGTATGTCCCCTCCTGCCTTCTCATGTCGAGGTTCCAGATCCCCCAGGCTGGCTCTCCCTCCCTTCACATATGTGTTTGGTGCCGGCCGTCTGCAGAGGCCATGTTGGGAATGCAGCCCTGCTCCCAGTCGGAGCTTGTGTCGTCTGTCTGCTCTTCAGATTTTCTTGCCCAGGAGCACTCCTCTGTGGCTTCTCTGGTCCTCCTTCACAATCAGAGGTTATCTCTATTAAAGGGGAGAAGAAATCTCTAGGATCCAATTGGAGTCAGATCCAAAGTCTCATTGAATTTGAGTCACTCCTTAGCAGACGATGACCTTTTCCAGACTGGCTGGGTCTTCTGCCCACAGACACTTACGTTCTTCAGTGACTTTGTGACCTCTCCACTGGAAGCACTTCCTTTGGGAGCTTTTTCTTTCTCCAGTCCCCTCAATTCGGAGGCTTCTGGTCAGGACTCTTGCAGTGGCTGGACTTTGCCTCCTCGTTCCTTTAGGCTGCTCAGTTTTCTGCCATTTACCCCAGCCCATCATTTGTGCCCACACCTTGTTTCCCTGCCTCTCCATCAGTGACTGCACCTGGGACTCCACTCTTCCCCATTAATCTTAAATCATTCCTCCCATCCCCTTCTCCTCCTTCACTGCTGCAGCAGTAATCTCATAATTTACTTCTTAATCAATCTCGTTTTCTACGATTGGTATTCCAGAACTTCTCTTTTCAAGACTCTCACTTGGTTCTCAGCATGTCACTTTGATCCTTAATTCATTGAAAAGATTTACATGAATTTCTTCTACTGTTCAAAACCTCTCTGTCATCCTCCATCCTCCCCCCGCCTCCTCTTTGCTAAGGTTAATGCAGAACTTGTTGAAGTCTTCTTGGAATAGTCAGGTGAACAATAGATTTGAACTGTGGAGAACCTGGTGACAGTGGACCAGTCTTTGAATCTCTCTGAACTTCTGGGGTCCTCATCTGTAAGGCAGCGGTGATACCTGCAGAGCTGCGTTCATGGCCTTGGGGGGGGGGGGGCGGTATGGGGAAGAAACGGCGTTTCATCCAGACAAACAATTTATTTAGCAACGCATCTGAGTGCGGGCTTTTGATGGTCAGGAACCCCAGAGCTTGGTTTCTACACAATTAATATATGGTTTGGAGGGAGTGAAAAATAGGATTACTGGACCGAGGGTATGGGGAAACACTGAGATGAGAAGGAAAGGGGTAGTTGGGTGACATTCCTGAAGTTGGGTGACCTTGGGGAGGGGAGTCATCTTGTGACTTCTCCAAAATCAGGTGACTCACAAGTACCTGCAACTTAGCTTCCCAGAATGGTGGGTGAAGGCAAAATGGAGTTATTTTTAATGTAACAGTGAGAACAAAATGAGATAACGTGAATACCAAGTGCTTTGAAAACCTTAAAATACTAGAAGCGTCATCTGTTATTCCTGAGCCATTGCGGTCCTCAGTCACATCTCATCCCCTGTTCTCTCCTTGGCAGCCTCAGACCTTCAATGATTTTCTTTATCTGTTGTCTCCCAGACTGGCTCCTTTCCTGTGAGTGTTGACTCCTCAGTGTACCTAGACATGCCCATGCCTTCCCTAGCCTGTAAAAAAAAAACCTTCCCTTAACTACCCAGTCCCCAAAAGAGGAAATTGTGAAACTGCCCACTCCCTCTACAGCCTAGTTTCTGTCGCCACCGCTCCACTGAAATTGTTCCCCCAGGCTTGCGGTGTTGGCATTACCCTGACACTTCCCTCTCCCTTCTTCCCTTGCCCCTGCAACCCCCAGTCTAGTTGCTAAGTCCTGCCCTTTTCATTTCAACAGCAGTTCAAATCTCTTCCCTTCTTTGCACAATCACTGTGACCACCTTAAAGCCTTCTTCACTTCTTAGACAGAATAACTATTATAGTAACATCTTGACTTTGGTCTCCCCCATTTCCAGTTCAGTCTTTACTATCATGCATCGTAATCTTCTTAGAATGCAGCTCTGACCTTCTTATATCCCTCTTCTAAATTTTTAGTGCCTTACTGTTACCTACCAATTAAAGTATGGACACTGGAGCCTGGTGTTCTCAGCCTTCCATAGTTTAACTCCGACTGTATCAGGGAGCCACGGTGGGCAGTATTTAGAGGCAGGAGCAGAAATAATGAGTATTTAACAGACCATGTAGACAGAAAAGGAAACTTAAAAAAAAACACACACACGTCACAAGCCAGTCATAGTAGTGGGGATTTGATCTGCTAAATCAGCTAAGCATCTTAAAAATTGTTGCCTTCTGTTTTTCCATCTTCATTTCCTAATATATTTCCCTTCCACCCAATGAACCTTTCCTTCTTTTAGAAAAAACATGTCTCTTCCCCTGCTTCTGAATTCCTCATAGTTGTCATTTCTTTGGTGCCGTAATATTCCCTTATATTCTTGTACCATGATTTGTTTTTCCACTCGCAGTTGATAAGCATCTACTTTGTTTTCATTTCTTTGCTACCACAGAAGTATTACAATTAATATTTTGGTTTTTTGGCCTTTGATCTGCTTGAGGGTATGTGTGACTATCCATGGAGTCACTGGGTTATGTGGTACGGACATTTCAGTCGTTTTCTCACTGTAATACTCAATTGCTTTTCAGAATGGTTGGACCAGTTTACAGCTCCGTAACTAGTGTGTTAGTTTCCCACGTTTCTGCCAACATGACCGTTTCTATCTTACGTCATCTTTGCCAGTTTGCTGGGTTTGCCATGTTGTGATTTGCATTGCTCATTATTGATCTGCATCATCTTCCATCTAAATGTCAATAGGCTACAGTTATGAGGGAGCTCTAGGCCATTTGATTATCTGTTGGGGAATGGCTCTTGGCCTAAAGCCTTTGCCTTCCTTGTTTGTGCATTTTGATCATCACGCTGAGGACAGGGCCAGGGCCTGGACTTGTCGTTTCACTGGTAACGGATCGCTCAGATGAAGAAACTCTCAGCCAGTCCAGGGTGACACCTTGCCTTCAGCTTCTGGTCTTAAGAGTGTTGGCGTGGATGGGTCAGAGGCAAGACTTGAGCCCAGGCCTCATGGCTCCAAGGCCAAGTTCTCTGCCTACTGCCATGTTGCCACTCAGCCTGTCATCAGAGATAGTTGATTCAAAAGGAGTTTCTTTCTTATCCTAATTTCATTGTTACTTTTTGTGAGTGTAGTTAGCTATGATTTCTTTACTTGCTGTAGTCATTTCATTTTTCTAAAGATAAAGAAGCTTACAATGGGACATCTTATTCTGGAATCTGATTTCTTATAATAAAGAATTAACTGGTTGGTGGGGTGGAAATGATTGGAGGGAAATTCCGGATACATTTGAAAATTGAAAATTGGTGATAGGAGTGGAAAGCCTGTTAGATCTGTGCCCTACATTTTCAGAAAGCAGAGAAAAGTTAGGAGCAGAATCTAAGATGTGAGATTGGGGGAGGGGGGTCAGCTCCCCTCAAGAATGAAATTCTAACAAAACCATTCCTGGGGAAGGGTAAAGAGAGCTGTCCGAAGCGCCGCACGCGTAGGTGTTGCCCTGAGCCTAAAGAGGAGGAAGGGCAGGTAGTGGAGGGAGGGAGAGCCCAGGTGTGACACGCTCAAGGGAGGGCAGAGCTTGGACTGAGAAAGCTGGAGCCAAGAGGCGTGTCAGGAGGGGTGAGGCTTCTTTCTCTGGGACATGGAAGGACATAGGGAGAAAACAGAGTCTTGTGCCCTGCCAGAAGAGAAGAGAGGAGGACAGCTGGCTTCCAGGAATCGAACTTCAAGAGAAACAGGAAAGGGTCCTTGAGTCAGGCCGTGCCGACTATGTTGGCCAGCCCCTGAAACCTCAAGAAGCTCACCTGTTCAGGAAGAGGATGGGGACGTACAAAATATGTGCCCTGTGGATTCAACATGTATTCTTTTTTTCCTGGAAAGAGGATACAGATATCTAGGGCGAGCGGGAATATCTTTGTGTATAAAGTTGAGGAGTGAGAGTATTCCAGGCGTGGGGCACAGCTAGTGCAAAGGAAAGGGGGTGGGAGGGAGATGAAGCAGAACGGAGGAACGAGAAGCAAGGAAGACACGGGGACCAAGGCTATGCAGTTCAGTGGGGGGACGGGGCTGTGAAGGCCCTGAGAGGACGAGAAGGCGTGACCGCTGAGTGATTCTCAGTCATCTCTGAAACATCATGGGGACTAGGAGAAGATCCCCCCACTCTCCCACTTACGGTCAGTCTCCCCCATGCAGAGAACCCCCCACTGCACCTTTCCATCCCCGGCACCTGTCGCCCTGTATCTCTTCTGCTCCCAAGAGGCGTCTTCCTTCTCCTTTCCCTCTCTTCTTAGCCCTCTCAGCATTACCATTGCACCAGAATGGCTCTCAGCTGCCTAGTCCAGTGACCTCTTCTCTTCCTCCTCCTCCCTGACCTCTCTGCAGCCATGGACACGGATGATTCCCCCTCCTCCTTCAAAGTCTCTTCCCTCTCTCTCTCTCTCCCAGTTCTCCTCCAGCACATCTGAGCGCTCCTCTGCCAGGTCCCCATCGAGAAAGGAGACCCCCCACCAGGTAGTAAACTGAGATTCTTCCTGAGTGTGGGAGAATCACGGTCTTCATCAGTGGAGGGACTGAATGCTCTGAAGTCTCGGCATTGTGACGTGTGCTTCTTGGTTTCTCCATTTTTCCACACATGGTATCACTTAGCCATAGACCTTATTTTGCTCTAGTGCCAGCCATATAACTTAGGACCATAGGTGTGTCCCTCCAGAAATAAAATAAAGTAACTTTATTAATAATTAAGTTTTTAAAACCACCGATGTTTTTGTTTTTAACTCATTTTTTTTTTCTTTTTTCTTTTTTCTTTTTTTTTTTACTTTTCTAGGTTATATTGCACCATGGAGTGGCAGATTTTATTCACTGTGGGACACTGGGTAAGTAAAGATGAGGTGAAATGATGTCATGATATTTATTTTAAAGTATTGAATTTACAAAGAAATATAAAAAGGTTATAACTCTCTCAAGAGAAGGAGAGACTGAAAACATATCTTAGCTATACTCACCACCTCCAGGTAGGTCGGCAGCTGGCTTTTCTATAGAGTGTTGTCCTTGAGTAATTGGGGGAAGGTGTGGGGCAACAGCTGTGCGCTAAAGAGCTGCCAGCCTGCCTCCCTGATATGTGCACCCAGCACGTGTAGTGTTACTGACCAACCAACTTGGGGAATGTTTGTGCAGTTCCTGAGACTCTTAAAAAAATTCCACTGTAGTTAAAACTTTTGTGGACAGTTAAGAAGAGGATAAATAAAATTCCATTTAGGACACCTGCTTTTAGTTTCTTTGCTTTTCCGTGTAAACTTATTCCTTGACCTTTTTCAATTCTTAAACCATATCTCTGCCATTTTTCTTTGAGTGGATTGTAAAACAAAGTAAATTCTATCAGACGACAGTAAGTAGTAGTAGCAGGGCTTTGCAATGACTAGTTTTTGTTGAGCAGACCTTTTTTTGGCTTAATTCATCAGTGTGGATAACATGTCCCCTTAACTGCACGCACATTCTGCCAGGTTCAGGTACAGTGGTGATCTTGTAGACCAATAGTCCCTCAACTCTTGTGATCTAGACAATATCAATTTCAACAAAAGAGCTTGTAGAACAACTCCAGCCTTTTCTGCTCGCCTCTGCAGTGCTGCTGGACAGTGCCTGGTTTAAATTAAATAGGAGACATGGATTATTGATACTGTTCAGACAGTACCTGGAGTCCCTAAGTACCCCTTGTGTATGGGGTTACGGAGTAGCACCTCCGGCGTGAGGGCTTGCCGAGCTTGTGGCTCCAGGAGGCCGTAGCCTGCGTAGCAGTCGCACCCCAGTAAAACCGTCTCGGCAAATGGGCTAAATCAGGTTGAGAGTAACCGATGGGCCTGAAACCCTTCAGTGAGCTAGGGGCTTGTCTGCCCCAAGCATGTGAAGATGTCCCCTGGTGGAATGGGCAGATGAGAACAATTTGTTCCAGTGGTGTGAAAGAGGCTGCAGCAGGCACTGCATCCTGGGCCATCACCAATCATTTTGACTTTCACCTTGCTACTGGACTTTGACGTCTCTGGAAGAGAGAATGAGGCTGATGACTTTGTGCAGCTTTTGCCTCACTTAAAATCCAGTTCATGAGCGAGTCGAGACATCACCCATGATGTAATTGGTCCTCTTGGAAAACAGACGGACGACGAGTAGCTGTTGGAGGACTCTTTGGTGATTCATATGGTCTCTTGCTGGCGGGGACCTTAGGATCAACCTCATTCTACAGATGAGGAAATTGAGGCCCAGAGGCAGGGGACACACCTTGGGACAAGGTGACAAGAGACAAGACAAGAAACACAGTTCTTAGAGGCCACGTCCAGCGCCTCTTCCACCAGACTCTGCTCTCAGGCTTGTTGACTTGATGTTTGTGTAGTGACCTACAACATATCAGGTCATGGTTTTGTGCTTTTATAGAGGAATTATTCTAATTCATTTCATGTCCAGTTCATGTTGCTGTCTTTTTGGGGTAGTGCTATAAATTTCAGTCCTTATTTACGTAATCTTTTTTACTCCATGGCTATGTAACATCCCTTTTAACATCTGCTTGTAAAAAGTACAGAAAGGTCATTGAAGCCCGTTGGAAGGCACTTAATAAGGTGCAGAGCTTTTATTTCATAGGCAGACAGAGGGAGCAGAACTTGTATTTGGGCGAGATTGTATTTGTCCAGTTCATTGGAAATCAGAGCCCCTCCCCGACTGGTCCCTGTGGGTGCTCCTGAATGGCATTCCATGGTTTTCCTCAGTTTGGACTGAGCTCACCGGGCCATCTGTGTAACGAGGCCCCTGACTAGTCTGTAATGGGAGGAGAACCTGTGACGTCAGGAGTAGAAGCTCCCGTAGAGGCACACATTCATCTACCAAGTCATGTCAGCTCCTGAGCACACAAAGTAGTAGAGTCTCTGGGGACAGTAAGAGGGCCGGTCTTTAGCCAGCCGGCCTTGCTTAGAAGCCCGCTCTTTACACTGTAGTGAGCATTGCTTCAGCAGCGAGCTAAGACTAGGAAAAGAAATGCTTTGATCTAGGAGGAAAGCCATTTGGGGCATTTCAAAATCATGCTGCCTTTTTTTTTTTTTAAACTAGGTATGCAAAAATACACATTCCAATCATTGCCTCAGTATCTGAACACCAGCCTACAACATGGGTATCCTTCTTCTTTGATCTCCACATTCTCGTGTGCACCTTCCCCGCAGGCCTCTGGTTTTGTATCAAAAATATCAACGATGAAAGAGTGTTTGGTAAGAGAAATGTTTAGAAATACTTTGATTTGAAATAATTGCCTGGGTTTGTTGTTTTTTTTTCCTTGATGAAGTTTGTATTCGTAAATCCAATCTTCTGCAGTTAGGCAAAATTCTCCCTTGTTATATGGTTTAAATTTTTGGTACTTGAGATTAAAAATCCAATGTTAAAAGTAGTTGTATTTTTATAATTCTGTTTATATTACTAAGCACTGAATTGGTATATAGAAGTTAATATAATAGCTCAGCCCTTACTTGAGAGCAGGAAGTAAATTCTATAATATTTGAACAAATGGTACCACTTAATAATTTATTACTATCTGTGAGTACTAAAAGCATAATGTGACCAGGTTGCTTCCATCTCAATAATAAAAATCAAGGCAATTTCAGATGATCTGAAGTTGAGAATGATTTTAATGTGATTTAAAAGTAGTTTCGCTGCTTTTGACCAAGATGGCTTCAGTACTGATAATGGCTGTGGTTTACCAGCATATGCTTTACATATTTATCAACCATTTTTCTAACATTGTCTCAATTGCCTTGTTTTTTGCATTATTTCATTTTTGCCTCACAACATTTTCATTTTGTTTACATAATAATGTTAGAAATTTGAGCAGTTTGCTCTGTGGTCTGTGTCTAAGATTGTAAAGTTCTGGCTTAAATTTCCAGAACTTTGTCTACAACTTGGAATATACCCACCTAAATAAGATCCATGACAGCTACACCAAGCAGTTTGTAAAACAAGGCTACAGCACATACCTCGAATGTCTTGTTGGAGAAAATATTTGTGTCAAACTGAATGAGGTCTGCTTTTAAGCAGAGTGCTCTCTTGGGCACGGGATCATAAAATGAGGCAGCAAGACCGTGGGCATTTTTAGCTAACGAGAGTCACAAGTTATAGCCTGGAATGTTGGGCATCGTTCCCAATCCAGGTGTTGGTGTCCAGGCAGCCCCTTCTAAGGGAAGCACACCTGTCATGGCGTCTGAGGACCCTGGGGGTCAGCCTCAGCCTTAGCCTTCGCCTGCCTGAGGTCTTTGGTCAGGGTGTACGGAGCTTCCCCCGAAAGGCAGCAAGACTGGAGGACACCTGATGGGAAGAGCCGAGCTAGAGAACGCTGGGCCTAGCCTTGGCTAGGAGGGGGGAGGGGGACAGGTGATGGGAAAAACCCTAGTTCCGAGCCTTAGTTAAGGGGGACTGGTGGAAGGAGTGGGGCTAGGACTTGTGTGGCTTCTCAGAGCTCTTGTAGCTCCAGTTTGTGATCCTACCCAAGTCTACAACAAGGGATGGAAAGTGCCCTAGTGGGCTCCACTCGTGGCTCAAGAGAAGATGGTATCACAGACCTGGAACGTCAGCCTTAGCCCATAAAAGTCACTTTTCTGTGATTTCATGTGGTGTCCAGGTGTTTGCGCCCTGCCAGAATGTGTTTAAAACCTCCAGGTCTCTCACTAGTGCCTTGGAGGCACTGCAGATTTCACTTAACAAATGGCATCATTTCCACTTTGTTTATTGCTCTTAGCATAAGCTTTACTCCATGGAGGATTTGCAGGGGATTGGGCACTTACTGACTGGGCCTTGTGATGTCTTACATAAGTGCATTTTCCTGTAAAAGCATCACAGTCTTAGAAAATCCATCACTGCTGACAAATGTGAATGAAGGGATCCCCATCTCCCAGGTAACAGCACTGAAATCTTTGCCTGGCATCGGCCTGTTAATGACTGAAGTCCCTAACAAGTTATGGCTTATGGCAGTGGTTGTTCATTATTGGCCAGTATTGGCGATTAAAGAAGAAACAATTCTTTGGAGGAATTTTTGGTCTTTTAATTACTGTCTAAAAGCTGTTTCATACTTTCTAATGATTAAAAATAAACCTGTCTCATCCCAGTGGCTCTATATGCAATCAGCGCCGTCTATTTTGCTGGGGTGATGGTACGCCTGATGTTGACTTTGACCCCGGTGGTCTGCATGCTCTCTGCGATCGCCTTCTCCAATGTCTTCGAGCACTATCTGGGGGATGACCTGAAAAGGGAAAACCCACCCGTGGAAGACAGCAGTGACGAAGACGACAAAAGAAACCCAGGAAACTTATATGACAAGGTAGGAGATCTCAAGTGAAACTGATTCTTATGGACACGCCCAGAAAGTGGGGATAATACCGGGGATGGCTTTTCATTCGCTCAGATTGACACAGGGAACCATTTTAAGGGCATTTGACCAAATGCTGGTTCCCAAGGGTTATAGTCAGTGTTTGTTTTAAGATCATATTTGAAAGATCTTACTCAGGTTTGATAGGTGATAAAATGTCTCGAGTGAAGTTTTATTAAAAATTGTTGATATTTGGTTTTAGTCCAATGTATCAACAAGACAGTTGTCAATTGTAATGTAACTGAAGCCTAACCCACATCGTCTCCTGGGCGGCAGGTGAGTTTTATCTTTGTAAAGGGAAGGATTCCCTAATGTATGGGAGCTTGTCTGGGGGGGTGTACGTAGAGCACAGCTTTCTGTTGACTGGGGTGAACTTCTGCTGCTGCTAAGTTAGCGTCTTCCCTCCCACTAGAACATCGGTATCAAGTGGGAGGGGTGGGACAGGAACGTTGTCTGCTCCTCTTGGTAGTTTACATTTCACATTGAGCCTGTAAGTCCAGGCTCCTCGTCTCCTTGGTACGTGACCCCCATAAAGGCCAAGTCCACGTGTTGGTTTGGATTGGGTGTGTAGAGCTGGGGGCGTATAGTTAATGGTAAGCAACTGCCTTTTTCCTCAAGAGGATGAAGTGTGCCGTGCTCTTGCAAAGGGGCATTGAAGCTTCTGTTACTGAAACAAGTCCCCCATGAGGTGCCTGCACACAGGTGTGGAGATGGCGTGGGATGGAATCTGCTTTGGGGCTGCTGCTTTTCTGTGGGAGGGGGGCAAGGGGACAGGGCTTCTTGCCTTAAAGCTACTTCAGAGCTTCTGTTAAAGTGATGGGGGGAGTAAAATATTTGGGGGAAGATGAGGGGTTACGCTGCCTTGTTTTGACATAAATTTCTGATAAATAGAAATAAGGGCGGCATCTTAACAAACCAAGAAGGCAAAATAAGTTCGTAGAAATAATTTTGTGTATCCTCAGGCAGGAAAAGTGAGGAAACACGTATCTGAGCAGGAGAAAACCGAAGAAGGCTTGGGGCCCAACATCAAAAGCATCGTCACCATGCTGATGCTGATGCTGTTAATGATGTTTGCCGTTCACTGTACGTGGGTAACGAGCAACGCTTACTCCAGCCCCAGCATAGTGCTGGCCTCTTACAACCATGACGGGTAAGGCTATAGGGCCTCCACTGGGCGGGGACGGGGGGGGGGGTGTCCCTGGAGAAGGGCCCCAGCGGTCCTGGGAAGGGCCTTGTGACGAGCCCCTCAGCTCCCAAGTCTTTGGTGGGTCGGTTTTGTGCTCGTCCCATCCTGATCGCTTTGAAAGCACGTGGCCGTTTCCTTTCAGCACCAGGAACATACTGGACGATTTCCGAGAAGCGTATTATTGGTTAAGGCAGAACACCGACGAACACGCTCGAGTGATGTCTTGGTGGGATTATGGCTACCAGATCGCCGGCATGGCCAACAGGACGACGCTGGTCGACAACAACACATGGAATAATAGCCACATTGCACTGGTAAGGGTTTTCTGTGACACGGGAGTCCTGGGTGACAGGCCCCCGAGTTTCCCTGATTCTGCCCATTTACGTGGAGGGGAGGGCTGGGCATTGCCCTGACTCCTGTCAGTGTGGGCAAGAGCGGGTAGAACATGCATGTTGGAAGTGCCATTGATAGCTTTCTTTGGGTGATGAGCTTTGAAAATTATTTGTGTGTTAATAAATCCTGAGTCTGGAAATTGTGTTCTCACCATATACTGTAGCAAAGAAACTTGCCATTACACTCGTGCTGCAAACCAATGGACAAGCACCCAGTATGGTGGGCTTAGGGATAAGCCCATCTCCCAGACCCAGGGTCCACTCGGGCTGGGCAGAGGGAGGATATGCAGGAGGGTTCCCCAAGTGCGTGTGTGCAAATGACAACCTAAGTCTTAATCTAGGTGAATTGTTCCTCAGCCTAGAACTCAGTTTCTGTCAGACTTTCTAAGACTTAAGATGTGAAGGGTTTGGACAATAAAATAAAAATGATTTTGAACCCCCCAGAGCCAACCTAAATGACTTTTTTTTTTAAAACATATGGTCTAGGTCGGGAAAGCCATGTCTTCAAATGAAACAGCTGCTTATAAAATCATGAGGAGCCTGGATGTAGATTATGTTTTGATTATTTTTGGAGGAGTCATTGGTTATTCTGGTGATGATATCAATAAGTTTCTCTGGATGGTCAGAATAGCTGAAGGGGAGCATCCGAAAGACATTCGGGTAAGAAACCAATTAGAAATATGTGAGATTGAGGAATTACTGGTGAATCAGTCAACAAGTGTTTATTGGGCACCTGCCATGGCTCGAAGCGACAAAATGAGGGAGCCGCCCCAGCCGGCGTGTGAGCGATCCCAGCACAGACACGAGGCCTGGTCAGGAGGGAGGGCTTTCCTGTCACCCGGCTTTGAAACCTCAGTCCTCTCTGGCCCCTGGCCCCCAAGCACACGTAGGTGGTTTGTGAGTCCTGAGTATTTCATAGTCTCTCACATCTTGTCTCCTTCCACCAACCAGGGTGGGGCCTTCATTTTACCTCCAGCCTGGACCATTTCATTGCAAGCATGTGGTTATATTTAAAAATGTAAAAATAAACTCTTTAGTTTGTAGGTCTTACTGTACATAAACAGCAGGGTCTGGGTTTGGCCCTTAGACTGCAGTGTCACCTGTGGTCTGGCTCATACAGACAGAAGCAGCTAAAGAGTGCCTAGCACATGGTAGGTGCTTGATAAAGGCTAGTTCACTGACCCTAAAAATAAACGCATGAAGATCTTGGTGGGGAGAAGACGAGCCTGGCTAGAAGGTGGTGCTTAAGCCTGTGAGATTTTGCATGAAGGATGGCCACTAGGGCTGATGCCCAGAGATGTGGGGAATGCCAAGGTGGCCAGTTGGACTGGCGTGTGACGGGAAGGTAGCTTGCAGCCTAGGACCAGAATAGGGCAGGACTAGAGGGAGGGAGAGCCGTAACTCAGGAAGAGGTGGGTGCAGGAGATAGAGTAAAGGAAGCAGCCATGAGATTGGGAAATAGGGTGGATAAGTGGGGTGAGAGAATAAGAATGGGGTGGGGAGGCGCCTTGACAGAAAAAGGGAAATTCAGGGCTCGAGGCCATCTCATTCTTCTTTCACTGTCTCAACTTTAAAGGATTGTTTAACGTGTGGATTGCCTTGATTGGTGTTTTACCATCGTGACTTTATTACGTACCAGATTTTAAGTGCGGATTTTTGAATTGTGATACCAAGCCCATCTCTGTCCTTCAAACCTTCTACATCCTAACAAACCAGCCTACTAGCTGTTCACTGGAGTTGTGCTCTGTCTCAGAGGGAGAGGGAGAGTGTGTGTGTGCACGTGTGCAGACTGACCTGCTGTATCCCCCCAGAGTCTTGCACACGTTATCTTGTTGGATCAGACCGAGTATTTGAAGAGAGATTATTTTAAAGGGAGTTATGGGTGGTTCTCAGAGTGGAGCTGTGCTGACACAGAAATGTCTTTATTCTCCCTTACAGGAAAGTGACTACTTCACCCCACAGGGAGAGTTTCGGGTAGACAAGGCAGGGTCTCCGACCTTACTGAACTGCCTCATGTATAAAATGTCATATTACAGATTTGGAGAAATGCAGGTGAGTGGGATTGCCCATTATTTTATGATCTGTAGTTGTGGAGAAGGACATTTTCAAAACTGAATGTTGGTGTAGTAGTCTGTTCCTGGTCAGGCTTCTCATTTGTGAGGTGAGCTCTATCCAGCTGCTAAAAATCAATCCATGTTTTTCCTGTTGCTGTAGAGTCCTGGCAGAGATTCCTATTTAGGGGAACTTTGTTCTCTTGTTAGGCTGCAGATGCTCCCCAGATTAGCACTAGAATGCTGGGTCTGCAGTTGAGTTCTGAAATGTTAACAGCCCTCAATCTTAGTGAAACAGAGAAGGCTGACTGCCAGATGGTGGGACATTTCCCTGGGCAGCCAGTTACTTAACTATGTCCATCGTCCAGGGGCTTCATGATTTTATCTTCCTGTCAGTGTTGGCTTTTAGAGGACAGTGGAAAGGAGCGGAGACCTAGGACGCAGCACTCAGGAGTAAGCTTGGTGATCTTGGGCATGCTAGGGAAGAAGGCTATGGCGGGGTGGGGCTCAGGTCACCTCAGGACTTCATGTGTCTGATCTCTGATCCCCCGGGGGTCCTGGACAATCCAGAATGGGCTGGACTGGGGGTCGTTTGCTTGAAACTAGGAAGAGAAGCCATACCTTCCTGGGAAAGAATCCATTCTCCAAGTCAGCCTTGCTGACTTGTTCCTGGAGACGGCTGTGCCAGAGACAAAGTTGGGGGGGGGGGGGGGGACATGCGACCTGGATTTGAGGCCTGCCTCTGTGGAGGACTCTCTTTGAGACCCTGGACAGTCCCTGCCTGGGGCCCACAGCTGGTCATTTCAGGCATCATGTGAGAGATGGGGAGCAGACACTTTCTCAGGGACTCCTCACCCCCCCAGGTGCACGTCTCAATGAGCCAAGGTGAGAAGTCACTAAAGAGATTCCTCTTGAGACCGGGAGAACCATCCACCTCACTGAGGGGATGCAACTGACACATCAGACCTTAATTTACTGCCTTTTCTAGTGCATTCTAGTAACCTAACACCCTGAGGAGTTTCCTGGGAGCCTTGTGTCTGAAAGTGCATGTCTTAATTTACTTTGAAACCCAATTCCATCCATTTTCAAAATGGTGTCACTAGGATAAGATTAGAACGCACCTGGGTCTTGAGGTGTGTTTGCATTTTGTTCTCCACCTCCTTTTGGCTTTGAAAATCTGGTGGAAGCCAGATAGGCACTTGGTTATATACTTTTTCAGGTGTGCTTAGACATTTCTCCTGGGGTTCCCCCTACTAGGTAAAGATATTGATCAGTTTTATCTTTGAGTTTCTAAATTTCCTGAGCCAGCCCCAGGATGCCCATGACGGCACATTTGGTCTGTCCATGTCACTGAATCGGCCCAGCAGGGTGGCTTGTCCCAGCCCATGGTGCCGGAAGACCTGCCTTCTTATTCTGCTTGAATTCATTTGGTTTGGGGTAGTATTTTTGGGACATTTGTTATTAAATTCCTCTAAATCAGTTTCTGTATTTAAAAAAAAAAAAAAAAACATCTGTTAGCTGTGCGTTTACTACGGGGAGAAGATTGGTTTCCCCAGACTGCCAAATGAGTCTTTGACCCCAAAAGACTAAAACCCCCTGGACCGGATCTTGTTCTGTCATTGCTTCTCTGCCCCTAAGGAGGGTAGCATCTTGGGGTGGGGCTGGGGCTTTTAGCTGGCTGGAAGGCTTCTTAGGTTTCTGGAACTGCTTCTGCTTTTCCCAAAGCATAATCAGTCTTTGCAAGACTTTGAACCAGTATCAGAAACCACCAGGTGGACTTTTCATCGAAAGTTTAGTCTTTGGGGTTAATGAGCACATGTTTGTTTTTGACTGAGGCAAGAGCAGTGTACCTTTCCCACCCTGACTGTTTTCCCACTGTGGTCACTGACATGAATGCCTTATTTTGTAGCTGGATTTTCGGACGCCCCCGGGTTTTGACCGAACACGTAACGCTGAGATTGGCAACAAGGACATTAAATTCAAACATTTGGAAGAAGCCTTTACGTCCGAGCACTGGCTTGTTAGGATATACAAGGTGAAGCAGCTGCAGAACCGGGAGACCCTGGACCACAAGCCTAGAGTAACCAACATTTTGTCCAAACAGAAGTATTTGTCAAAGAAGGTGGGTTCCCAGGGCAATTATCCTACAAAGGTGGGGTCCGGCTTGTCTGGGCGCTGGTAAATGACTCATCTCTCCGTGCCAAATGTCCATGTTTAGTATCACCCTTGCCTGTCGGTGACCTTCATGTCGTCCACCCTGTCTGAGGGCAGCCTCGTGTCAGGAGCTCTGGTGCGCTGCCTAGTTTTCCTGTGGATCCCTCTTGCAGAATCTGTTTTAAAGTTAAAATGCCAAGCCTGAAACAGCGACATTTTGTATAAAAGAGTGAATTAAACCTGAGTATTCTTTTGGTGTTGGGCTGCTCCCTCCATTGTGAAATAAACTTCCATCTTCACTTCCTTGTGACGCACTCCACGTTCTGTTTGGCACGGCCTTCCTCTCTTGTCCCTCATGAAGACGAGGCTGGAGCTTTGTCTAGAATCATAATTACTGGAAAGCCTCATTACAATGGGGAGGGATGTGAACAGTCAGATGATCAAAGTAAGATTATTGTAATCCCCTTTTGGGGAGATCATTGCCCATCTGAAGGGAGAGGCGGCGGGCAAACGTGCTGAGAAGCTGTAGGATCGGGAGTCTGAGGACCTGCCCCTAAACACGTGAACCCCCCTCAGCCCGGCCTTCCTTACGTGTAAAATGTTGGGGGTGGAGTAGACGGCCTCAGAGATCCCTGGGATCTGAAATGGCAAACAGGTCCCACACCTCGTATGAGAGCACTTCGGCTCTAAATCCATCAAAAGGAAATCTGCCACACTCTTTAATGAGTGGCCTCTGGGGCCTTATTTATTTTTAAAAATCATGCATTGGGTTTTTTCCAAAAATCTTGGGATTTCGGGTACTTATGCTAGCCCTTATGAGAGAGGACACAGAAATTCTCTGGTCTTCCAAATCCTTAGGATAATAATTAATAATAGGTGTGCCAGGCACCTCACAAATATCGTCCATTTGATCCTCAAACAAGCCTGGGAGGTAGGGGCTGTTACTATCTCGATTTTATGGCTGAGGAAACAGAGTCAAACAGCTGAAGGGACCTGCCCAGGGTTGCATAGATAGTAAGGGTCCTAGGCTGAATCTGAACTTGGGTCTTCCTAACTCCAGGCCTGAAAGTTTCCATGTGTTCAGTCAGAAGATGTGGATGGGTTGTGGTGGGAAGAGCAGTAGGGTCAGTGTGCTGGCACCTGGGTTTGCACCTGCATCTGTCCCTAGTATTAACTAGTGCCCAGAGGATTTGGGGAAAATCACTATCCCTCCCTGGGCATCAGCAAGCATTTATTAAACACCTTGCAGGTGCTGGACATTGGGGGTGTGAGTACCAACATGATAAACCCCTACTTTCTGGGAGCCCTTGGACCTCTTCCAACTTGAAGGCCTGTGACAGAGGAGGATTAGGGAAAGCTGCTGATGGCTTCTCTCTTGGGCCTAGGGGGATGTGTCAAGATGCAATGCCCACCCTCGAGCTCATTCATCTGCCTTTACAAAAAGAGAGAAGCAGTGGGGAAGGAGGGCTTTGGATGTGCCATTCTGAATCTGTAAAGATGACCTTTGTTTAATAAAAAAGTCAATAATCCAAAGCCCCACCTATTTAAAAATTGTGTGTGTGTTCCGTTTTACTAAGAAATCACTTATAAAATGGAAAAGGATTCCAAATGGGGCTTGGCATTGTTGATGGACTGACATCTAAAAGGGCCCTTCCTGGTCTCCTCCCTCGTGCTTCCTACTAGTTAAAGGGAAAAGGCAGTGAGGGTGGGGAGCCATTTTGAACTAATGACTTTCAGGTGTTTCTTTAGCTGTTGCAAGGTTTCCTTCCAGCTTTTTTCCTGGCCAGGCTCTCACCCCACCCTCCCACTAAAGGGACTGAGATAACATGCCTCAGGTTTGGTATCCCTAGGTGCCCCGCACTGCTGCCCCAAGAAAAGGGCCAGGTAGCCCATCACTGATAAGGAACTTTTGAAATCACACCTGAATCTACACAGGCACCCACGACATAGTTTGTTACCAGTGTTAAGGGAACAGAGTAGGAACAATCCAACAGAATGGCCCCTTTATTCTATAAAGTCCGTTGGAGTAATTAGTGTAACGAGTAAAGGAACAACCACTACTATACTATGGGACCTGTGAAATGAATTGCCCATGTGCTCCTGGTCATCCAGGACACAGCCTTGTCAGGTGGGCACAAGATGCTTTTGCGTATTTAGAATGGCGTCTTGGAGCATGGCTGTAGAGAGTGATTCTGGGGATTAGTGGACTTCTAGGCTGAGAAAAGGCCGATCTACAAAACCTGGAGACAGCACTGATGTCAGGGCAGCCACAGCAGGTGCCTTTTGAGTTTCCTGGGGGCCTTGTGTCTGACAGTGCATGTCTCCGTCCTGGCCCCCAGAGGAGGGTTGGGCAGCTTGCACTTTCTTATGCTGCAAACTCCAGTGATGTGTGGCCCTCCTGACTGTGCCCTGGGGAGCCTGGAGTCTTCAAGCCAAGCCAGCCCCTGCCCCCATCACACTTGGTGTACGTGAAGCCCTTTTTCTTGGGACATTCATTCAGTAATTAATTTGGCTTTGTGAGTACCCCCATTTTACAGAAAGAACAACCAAAGCTCTGAATGATTCTTACTTACTCGGACTCACATGGCAAGTAAAGGGTGAGCTGAGGCATCATCGGATTCCAAGGCGATAGAATCTAATCTCCTGGAGAGCCTAGCGCAGTTCCTGGCACACAGCGTGGCCTGAGCTCTGGATCAGGCTGCTGCATGATGCCAGCCTTAGACGAGCCCCTGAGGTCAGAGTTGGGAGCAGCAAAGGGAGAGGCATTGTCACAAGTGCCGGGAGTGCGGGGGCCGTTCTGGTCCCAGCAGCTATGTGTTCCTTCAGCAGCATGAGCGGTCCACACTAACTCCCCGTGTTGTTGCTTTTCAGACCACCAAGAGGAAGCGTGGCTACATCAAAAATAAACTACTTTTAAAGAAAGGCAAGAGGCCCACCAAGAAGACTGTTTAAAAGAGACTGTTGCGAGCGCTGATTGCGAGCAGTTGTCCTCGAGATAACCAGTCTTTGCCTTGAGCTCCAGTCATGTTTCACAACGACATGAGGGTACAGAACCATCACTGGTCCAGATTCATGTACTAAATTTTCAGGCAATGTCTGATTTAAAACTATTGGCTTATTGAGAACAGCTGTTTTAGATTTGTAATGTGAAGCAAGACCGAGCACTGCTGTGAATGTCTAGCAGCAGGTTTGATTTTTTTATTGGTACATACTCTCTTTCCACGCCAAGAATTTGGACTTAACTGCACCAAAGAACCCTCGAATCTGGTCCCTGGCACATGCAAATTTGTCCGTTTTTCTTCTTTTTTAATTCTTTTACAAGACCTGCACTTCCTCTGAGACACCTAAACAGCAATATGTAGAATGCAGATTGTAAATTGGGATGAGTTTTTTACACAATCAGGAAATGAGTTACAGATCTGAAAACAGCTATTAGAAACTGGGATGCCCTTGGATAATATTGATTTCCATGTTTCTCGATGTAAAGAATGTTTCATCAAATGCACACTTTTCTGTTTCTCTGAGGGTTTGCTCTGTCCACAAAGAAGCTGCTGCCATTCCCACCACACACGCGTCATTTTTTACGTCGACGTCAAGGCGATTGGTGGCGGTGGCGCCTTCCTTGGGGTCCCAACAGGGCAGCTACTGTGCATGCTGTTCACTCAAGGGCTAAATTGGTATCGTTTGGCAGTTCTAGAAATTGCACCGAGGACGCTGTGCAAAAGAACCTTATTGAACTCTTGACACAAGAAAACAGAGGGGGAAAAGGCTTATTCTAAAAGTTTCCGATGTCCATACATCCCTTGTGTATGTGTGACTCCCACCTCACGACTGGCCCAGGGTGAACATCCCTCCCTCAGAGGCTCCGACATTTGATGAAACACTCTGACTTTAGCGAGGTGCTCCTTACTTCATTTAAAAATTGTGACAGGTCCGTCCAAGACACACGCTCACACCTAGTGGGTATGGGACACGTGCCCTTACCTGCTCCCGGCAGCTTGAGGAGGAAGATGTGGAGTTCTCTGCAGCCCTTGGAAGAAAGTGCTTCCTACCACAAGCTGTCCCAGTTGGGGGGTTTTATACATATCTATATTAAAAAAATTATAACTTACACCACTGCTTTTGGTGGAACATGAGGAATAGTATGTACCTTTTATGAAGAAAAATGTAATTTACAACCTTCAGTGAGAATGTTACTGCTGATTTTCCTTCCTAAAATGTAGAATGTTTGGTTTTTTTGGGTTTTTTTTTTGGTTTTGTTTTCGATTTATAAAAACTCATTTTTGACCCTGATGGTTCTTTTACAGACCAACAAAAATGACTGTAACATTTTCACAAAATAAAAACAAATAGATCTGGATTTCTGACACGTTGTTTTGTCCTTTGGAGATTTGGTTTTACTTGGTTACTTCGTTTAATGCAGACACATTGTGAAGAGGGGAAATAAAGTTAATTCAAGTTTTGTGTTAAGTGTCTATGTTCTTCTGTAGCTCCTTTAATTTAACCTTGAAAGGAAGTAAAGTCACTTTCAGAATTCTGTTGTGAGAGGAAGGGGAAGTAAAGCTCAGTGGACCATTTTAGCTTGCCAGTTCTGAAATCATCCAGCTGTCCTTTAATCCCATTGTGGTGTCTCAGGTTGGCATCCACCTCCCTCCTCCCTGGGTAAGCTTGGGTTCTCTCCCCAGGCCCTGTGCTGTTTTTGTTATCTTGTGTCCTGGCCCAGGATGTCTGTCGGTTGTAGGAAGCTCCTTCTGCCAATGCTGACCCACTGCTTCTTAGCTCTGGGACTTTGAGAGTGAACTGAGGCAACTGGGGGTTAATTGACTTGGCCAGGACCCTCCAGCCAGTATGGATCCAAGGCAGGCTTTGCACCCAGTTGTTTCTGACTCTGCCTTCGTAACCACCCATCATTAGTGTGTGTGGGCTAAGTGTTGTCCTGAACTGACTTAGAAGCATTCATGAAGGGCCCAAACTGTCACGGTTCTTGCTCTGCATTCAGAGGTGGGCCATGGCTAATCCCATTGCTACCTGCAAATGTCCTCAGTGGGTTTTCCTGGGATCATTTCTTCAGGTCACTCCCTCCGGTCAAGGGTGTGCGCCCCCTGTACCGCTGAGGAGTTGTGAGGTCCTCCTCGTGAGCTGCTGCTCTGATGAACACTTCTGGCTTTCAGTGCAAGTAGAAATGGGAGCTTTTGGTTGCAGAGAGATGGGAATGCCTCCGTAACCCAAAGGCGCGAAGCTCTGCTGAACTGACAGGTTCCCGAGTCGGAATCATAGAGTGTCTAATTGGAGTGAGGAAACACAGCCACCTTCAGGCTGAGCAGGCCAGAAGCAAGGGCAGCATGTAGTCCCTCGTCATGTATCAGACATCTCAAATCTTGGGCGGCTTTGTGCTGCAATGGGAACCCCTACACTACTGCCAATAATGAGTTCAAATGAAGAGAATGGCGCAAGCCGGCCTGCAGTGAGCGGTGCTGAGCCTGCCTTCAACTGAAAACGTGAGCGAGAAACCATATCCAGGTCAAATGCTTCCTTCAGCCATGGCCCCAAGGCTTCCAGCTTCTCCCACTAAGGACCAGAGGAAATGAGGGAAACCGAGATGTCAGTTAAGAGATGAAGAGGTAGAAATGTCAACTCTGATCTCTGTGAATGCATATTGCAATCAATGCCAGTTCTAAAATTCTCCCAGGAACATCCAAGCACATGAGAGACAATCAGGATGTCTGTGCCATCACAGTCTGTTTAAGGTTGTTAATCGAGCAGTGTTTATTCAATGGAGGAGGGATGAGAGAACATTCCCTTCATTTGATTGTGCAAAGTGCAAGAATACTTGTGCAGATGTTTACTTGCCTCCTATTTCAAAAAACATGGATATGAGGGGAAAGACGGGGGGAAAACGCCAGCCAGTGTCATTCAGGACCTGCCCTTATCCCAGAAGACCCAGACCCACCTACTCAGGCCCCAGCCTAAGCTTTCTCATCTCCACATTATCATGTCACGACTAAGTCAAGATCCCCCCCACCCCCCCATCCATCCTCCACTGGTAAGTACCAATTTCACCTACGTTCAAGAGAGATCCATGCTACCTTCTTTGTGCCAAGCAGATGATAACAGGTCCTTTCACAACATGACAAGGAGGGGCTTCCGTGTTCATGAAAGGAAAAAGGCATTGTGCAGACAGAGACACAACTTAGCTTTGTAGTTATAGGAACCACACAATCAGCTGGCGTTCACCAGGCATTGTACTAAAGACAAGGAAATGGCTCCCCTGCCCTCACGGAGCTGACATGCTACCGGGGGGTGACAAGCACGCCAATGTACATAGGATTTATACCAAATAAACCCAGGGCAGCAGTGGAGGGGAGGCCCGGGTAAGTCCTTCTGTGTTACAGGAGGGGGTGCCTTGGCAGAACCTTGAAGGAACATGAGGATGCCACGAGGCAGAGGGGAGGGAGCGAATTCCAAAAACGGCAGATGGCCGAGGCACGGCCACAGAGCCAGACTGACCTGTGAAGACAGCTCCAAGTGTGTGAAGGAGAGTCAGGCCGGAAAGGCAGGTTGGGACCAGCACGTGAAGGCTTGCATTGCCAGATACTTCTGCATCCAATCCCAGTGGTGAGCGCCAGTGGAAGTCCTCATTGGGGGGAGTGATGAGTGATGGGGTCAGTTGTGTGCTTTAAGAATATCAGTGAGGGGCAGCTAGGGGGCACAGTGGGTAGAGCTCTGGCCTCGGAGTCAGGAGGACCTGAGTTCAAATCCGACCTCAGACCAAACACTTGACACTTAATAGCTGTGTGACCCTGGGCAAGTCACTTAACCCTGAGTGCCCCACCAAAAAAAAAAAGTATCAGTGGATGCCAATTAGGAAGTATTCAGAACCTGATCAGGGTGACAGCGCCCTGGTTGTCAGATGCATGGTTTTCTGGGACCTGAGGAGAGTCATCAGCCTAGGTTAGACCCCAGGTCCTAGCAACCCTTCAAGTCATTCTGCCACATGTGAGACCAAGAAAGTGCCATGTTCAGAGACGCAAGGACGAGGGACAAATCTCACACAATCTTGGGAAGTCTCTGACCTTCACAGAGCGTCAGTCACAGTATGGTGTGACTGAGAGGTCTTCCTTGGGGAGCATGAGAGGCAGGAAGGCTGGAGCCCAGGACTGACTGATGCCCGAATCCATCCATGTTGTTAATGGCCACTGACTGACTCCACGGGAGGAAGTCTAAGGCCTTGTGCCCACTCTGAGATGCTCTTGTCATTACCAGAGTCCCGCTGTGCTGTGTCACTTCTAATTCCCCCAAATGTGAAGCAAAAACTAATGGGGAACGGAGGCCGCTGACTTCAGCAAGTATCCTGGCTTCCCTTTGATGGTGAAGCAAACATGGTGCTTCTCCCATAAGAGTCTCCAGTGCTTTATCCTGGGAACCACTGATTCCTGAGTGCAGACAGCAAACCTGGAAATTCTACTTGGGCCCAAAGGCGTGAAAATGATGATGACACACAGCCCCCTTACCAGTGCAGCTTCTGAGGGTTCCTGGGGAGTCAGTCCATCTAGCCCCCTTCCCCTCCAAGCACACAGTAAGCCCAAACATCATCTGCATTCAACCATCTCTATATCCCCAGGAAAGCAATAGGAATGGAAACACCTCGAGGCTCGAAACAAAAGTAGGACAGATTTGGAATGAGACATCCTGCGTATTACAAAGTCAGCTTGTCTGCCACCCACCCTCCTTCCTGCAGGAGGCATACCCGTGGCCAGTGGCGTCCCCGTGGGTGAAGACACTCAAGGAGGACGCGCTGCCCCTCCACAGCACGGGACCAAGGGGGCCTCGGCACAGGAAGACGTCCAAGGTCTGAGCCCTTGGCCGCTTGGCAGTGTTTTCACCGCTCAGAGGAGTGAAAAGCCAGTTGGCCAGGGTCTCCCTAACCCCCTATTAAGTAACCACAACAGCTCACATTTACAAAGTGCTCTGGGGTTGGCACATCAGACATCATCTTACAGTCTCATCTGAGCTTCAAAACGAGACTGGGTGAGATGAATTATCATCCCATTTTATAGATGAGGAAGCTGAGGTGCAGGGTCACCTAGCAAGTAAAAGCCTAAAGAAAGATTTGAACCCAGGCCCAGCCCTGTATTCATGACAACATTCAATTCACTCAACCTATTTTTTTTTTTTTTTTTTTTGCTTTTTGGTGAGGCAGTTAGGGTTAAGTGACTCACTCAGGGTCACACAGCTAGTAAGTGTCAAGCGTCTGAGGCTGGATTTGAACTCGGGTGTTACTGACTCCAAGGTCAGAACTATACCCAGTGTTCCACCTAGCTGCCCCCATCACTCAACCTACTGTTAACATTGAAGATAAAAATAAAGATGAGACCGTCTCTGCCCTCAGAGATCCTACAGTCTTCAGGGACCAAGGACAGATATACAGATAAGGGAATAAAACACACATAACGAGAAACGTTCATCTGTCTTGGTGGTGCCCAAAGCCCTAAGAGGGAGCAGATGAAGAGGGAGAGTGTTCCAGGCACTGAGAGGGGAGACGTGGCTTTTCAGGAGGTGAGAGGGAATATTGCACAAATCAGCACCAAAGGAGATCTGAGTCCACAACAAAGATTTTGGGAAGCAAACTCCTAGCATGATGAATGTAAGCTCCTCAAAGGCAGGGACTCTCATTCCTGTCTGTGTCTCCAGGTACCTGCGCAAACAACAAATGTTACATCAAACTGGGACAAGCTATCCACTTGGAGAGGGCTTACTGTTGGGGTAGGCCGGTAAATGTTTAACAAGCAGCTCTCCAAGAAAAGTACATCCAGTGCACTTTTTGGTTTTAATCTGCATTATTAACATTTTCTCCACCACTTTCTTAAGCCTAAACAGAAAACAAAACAATAGACCAAGTGTTAACAGATGCACCAGATTGCTGGGGTGTAAATACCCTAAAAATCTAACAAGCGGCTCTGGGGAACCTGTAGGATCTGGCTTCCGCACAACCCTGGCCTTATTAATTTATCGGAACAAGTCAATCAAAAAGTACATTGTTGTCGGAACATGTTTTTTGTTTATGAGGAGATTGCAGATTCCTAGTGTACCACAAAGCATTTTAGGAAAAAAACCCTACAGTGATATAAATAAGACCATTTTTCAAGGAGCAAGGAAAAGGATACCATTTTCCCAGCCAACCCAATGAACCGTCATGATAAAACTGCCTACACAAAAGCACCAAGGGAAGGAGAGGGAAAGAGGGAGAGAATCAGCATTTATTAAGCACTCACAGTATACCAGGCGCTATGCCAAATGCTTTATAATTACTATCTCACTTGAAACCCACAACCCTGGAAGGTGCTATCATGATGCCCATTTCACAATTGAGGAAACTGAGTCAGAAGGAAGTTAAGTGCCTTGCCCGGCTACTAAGTCTGAGGCAAAATTTGAATTCATGCTTTCCTGAGCCCAGACCTGGTGCCACGTGGTACCCAGGAGTGCGTGGTATGAAAGGGAGGAACACCCATTTGAAGATATAACCAATGAAGGTTAAGCAGCAGTCCCTCAGTACAAGGCTGTGTGTGCCCAGGTGACTCCACTGGTTTTTTCAAAGGACTAAAAATAAAATAAATACTTAAACAAGGATAGATAAAAGTTCTCAATCCAAATATATTTTTTCAATATCTACAAATTAGGACAAATTGGCATTAGGGGAGCAAATGAAAAGGCCCAAAGTTAGTCCTGTGGGGAGGCAGGCGTTCACGCTACTCATAAATATCAGAGAAGTCCAGTAAAAAATAAAGCCTCAAACAGCAATTGGTTCTATACTCCCTGTTTTTATTTACTTTACATTTCTGTCTTTCTGTACTTAAAGCGGCCTCGTGGGAGAAAGGACTAAAATACAATGAAAGCTGAATAATGTTGATGTGTTTCCAGGTTGCCTTTATTTGTGTTCAGCGGTTTCCTTGCAGAGTTCAGCTTAAACTAGAAATGTGCATTAAAAAAACACCCACGAGCACCCTTCTTTCCCCCTCCTCCCTTAACCCCCCCCCAAAAAAACTCCCAAATCCTTTAAAAAACCATGACCACTGGTGGGTGCATCTTCTGAAGCCCTTTTTTAAAAACAAAAATAGATGTTTCCAAATGATTGAGTTTCCACTGTGAAAACAGCAGCGTCTAAGAAAGGTGAAAAATGGCCAAAAAAAAAAAGAGAGGCAGGCAGAAAACCAGCCTTCAAATAAGCAGTATAGAGTGTGAGTCATCGGCAAAGAAAGCAGGCTGGAGACCCCCACCGGACCCTCAGCCTGGAAGGCTAGGCACATCCCTCCATCCCTCCCTCCCCCCATCCCGCCCTAACAAACAGAGCTTTCTTACTCAAGGGCCCTCTATCCACTGGGCTGACAGCTGACCATGCCACATGGAAACCCGTCTTTGGAAGGCCATCCCAGGAACTCAATGACCAAGATGGGTAAGGGTCAGGGGATGGAGTTGCTTACTCAACATGGCATGGCAGGATGTAAGCAATTAGGACATACAAGAGAAACCACAGAGCCCATGGCCCCCCCCCCCAATTCCCACCCACCCCCGACACCCCCCCAAAAGGATGAGAAGCTCTATGGACCAAACGCACGCAACATGGTCAGATAGACAGAGTCAAGTCACCGCCATTTTGACATGGAGTTGATTGCCAGTAAGGAATTCCTGTTTTAAGTGCAAAAAGTTTTAGGCAAAGTGAAAAATAGAAAACTTTGACCTTCATTCATAAAAATGTACTCCTAACTATCAAGCAAATTATTGGTGGTACATACATGTCATATTTACACATGTAATAAGAATACCCAGTCTACATCTGCATATGGTACATACGTGAGTATGAACCATGCACACAGATATCACACACACACACACACACACACACACACACACTCTCACTCTAAATATACACGCATATATCCCATTAACAGCCCCTGGGCATCCAACAGCGTATTAGTTTGGAGGGGCATTACAGCGTATGACTTTTCTCTCCTTAAAAAAAAAAAAGATTCTAACAAGACGAAACAAAAGAAAAACGGTTCCCCCCTTGGGATATCCCAACAGAGTTCAGCCAAAACCACCTGAACCTCGTATATGGCACCTTTTAATGCCTATAAAAAGATAGGTCTATTTTGGAAGAACACTGCATTTGATCCTCATCACTGGACTTTCAACAGAGGTTCCACATACATCCAACCTTCACCCTAGAAGAGAACAAGGGAGACGTTACACAGAGATGCGGGCCAAAGGAGGTCTTAGAGGAGGCAAGGGAGAGGCAGGGAACAAGTGAAACGGGACAGTCCTAGTGACTACCTAGGAACTAACGTCACAGGATCAAAACCAGAGGAATGGAGAGCTGGGAGGAGGCATCTCAATGGCCAATCCATCCCAGGACAAGTGGTCAGCGAGCTTCTGTCATAGATGGAGGACCTCGGGGCAGCTAGGTGGCGCGGTGGAGAGGAGTCAGGAGGACCTGAGTTCAAATCTGGCCTCAGACCAAACACTTGACACGTACTAGCTGTGTGACCTTGGGCAAGTCACTTAACCCCAATTGCCCAAAACAAAACAAAACAAAAAAACATAGATAGAGGACCTTAGAAGATATCTAGTCCAGCCCCACAACCATTTTACAGATCAGGAAACTGAGGCCCAAAGAAATGAACTGACTTTTCCAAGGTCACATAAGCAGTAAGTTGCAGAGCCAGAACTCAAACCCAGGTCTCCTAACTCCAAATACAGTTTTATTTCCACAACACTACGGTTAGCAGCACATGTAAACAACTAATGGGGTTTTTAGTAAAATGTCTGTCAATCAAATGGTTACCTTCATTTTAAGGACTGGATAGAGAAACCCAATCACTTCCGTTAGAGTGTAAGCCTCTCTGAGGCAGGGACTGTTCTGTTTTTTGTCTGAGCTTTATAAATACATCTTCAGGAGTCTTCTGATTTCTACTCTTGACCCTGCCATATTTGATTGTCAACCAGGATACAAGCAGTTATTAAGTACCTACTGTGTGCCAGGCCCTGAGGAGACTGAGATGAAAATGAAACAGCCCTGCCTTCAGGGACCTTACATTTTATAAGTAGACAGAGAATGCATACAAGCCCCATGCCAGAGGCACCAGCAGCTGGGGCGGGCGGGGCCTCACGGACAGGCGTCCCTACAAGCTCATCTGGGTCTCAGGTCCCTCCCTTGCAAGGGGATGGGTCTGAAGCCTGTGATCACTGGAAGCGCTTCTCCCTGTGATGCACAAAACATATCCTCCAAGCTCCCTGTGCTCCAACACCCCCAGATTCTGGGTTCCAGAGGAGACACGCTCAGCCCATGCCTCAGTGAGCCCTCAAAGCTGCTCATGAATGCCAGGCTTTGGGGAATCCCTTCACAGCTGCCTTCAAAGAGTCACAGAATCTGAATCCAGTTCAACCCACACCTGAACAGGGATTCCTTCAATCAGGTCCCTGACAAGCCTCTGCTTGAACACTTCCAGGGACGGGGAGCTCACTACTCCTCAATGCAGCCTACTCTACTGTCTCGACTGAGAACAAGTTGGTTTCATTTTTTGGTGACTGACTCCCGAGTGCCTGGCACACAGCCGGTGCTCAATAAATGCTTGATAGCTGATGGACTGAGTGTAAGAGGAAACCCTGAGATTCATGCACTGGATCTCCGGGCCACTTCCCCTGCAAGAGGGCTGAGGGCACTGAGTGCTACTCCTGGCAGTGTGGATGACCCCATGTCCCTGTGGTAGGACAAGGGCCGCCTGCCTGTTGCCTGAGAGGAACAGAGGGGACCCTGGGGACCCAGCTAAGATTCTGCTCCACAGGGGGGGACGGCTAGATCCAGATCCTACCACTAGGGCCACAGAACCAGAAGGGTCCAACTCCTTCATCTGGCAAGTGAGGAAACTGAGGCCCAGGTGAAGGGACTTCTCCAAGGTCACAAAGGCAGGAAATGTGAGAGGTCGGATTTGAGCCCAGGTCCTCCGACTTTCCCGTACCACTGTCTCACTTGACAGGGCACCTGGAGGTTTTCTGTGCAACAGCTCCAGAGGCGGTATTATCTCCTATCATCGGCCAGGGCCGCCTGGCATTCGAAAGCGGAGCAGAGCTGGGATTGGAACCCAGGTCTCTGGCGTTGGGATCCAGTGACACTGACATGAAGTCAAGCTGCCGTCCTATTTCGAACCTGGTCAGGGCGTCTCCTCTGCTCTCCTCTCAATGCTGACACTAAGTCCTGGCCCCGCCTCTAAACCAGGCCTCTGACCCAGTCTGACACCACAGACCCTCTGAAGCCCAATCCTGCCTCTGATGCTCACAGCCTGCTGGGCCTCACCCCCCCCCACCCCTGTGTAAAATGAGGGGGTGGACGACATGGCCTCGGGCGGCCCTTCAAGCTCTAGATGGGGTGTCCTTGGCCCCACACCCAACAAGAATGCCCCTTCACCCAATAAGGAGGCCCTCCTAAAATCCCTCCTCCCCTTGACAGTCCTACCAAAAACCTGAACACACCCTCCCCCACCCCCAATTCATCGTGCTATGGCAGAGAAAAGGATTTGGAGTCACAGGTCCTGGGTTCAAATCCTGACTCTGGCCACCGCCTAGCTAGGGGAGCTTGGGCGGGTCCCTCACCTCCAAGGGCCTCTGCTCCTGGTCAGACGAGATCCCCTCTGAGCCTAATTCGAGGATCCTAAGGCCCCCCCCGGCCTGCCCCTTCCCTCCTCCAGGTTTCACACTCCCTCTGTGGCCAAGCCGCGGGAGCCTCAGTTTCCCGCTCCGTGAAACGAGCAGAGCCGCCTCCCCCGCGTTACCTGCTTGATAAAATACTTTGGCTGCCACTCCCGGCTGCCGGCAGCTCGCTGCTGCTCGTCCTTGCGCTGCCGGTCCTCCAGGTGCTGCTTGAATTCCGTGGCCGAGCTCATGTCGCCCAGCTTGATGGCGTCGGTCACTTGGCGCCACAGGTTCCTGCAGGCGCACGGGGTGGTCAGGCCGGGCCGGCCACCCGCCAACCTCTGTCCCCCCCAACCCGAAACCACACCTTGAGCCCTGAGGGCAGGGACCGTCGGTCTTTGGCTTAAGACTCAGTGACCAGTGTCACGGAGGCGGCCCGGAGGTCCTCGGAGGGCAGCCCCCTCGGGTCCTGGCTGCCACGCAGCCCTGTACCCACCGGACCCGCGCACGCAGCGTACCGAGCACCAGCCGCGGCCCGGGCGGCGTCTGCGCCCGACCACAGACCCGCCCGGTGTCCCGGCGGCCGCCGGGGCGGGCATCCGCTCGGACGGCGCCCGGCCCACGGCAGATGCCCAGTCCCTGCCGGACGAGTCCGGCTGCCTCAGACTCGGTGATCCCGAAGGCCCCTTCCCGTGTGAACGATGCCTCATCCTGCCTGGAATCCTAAGTGACCCGGGGGGCAGGGGCCTCGGACAGCCCCTCCCACCCACTTCACGGTGGGGGGTGAGGATCGGACCATCCCAACGGTGAAGTTTTACAGAAACGCTCTCCACCTTAACGGGGAGTGAGACGAGGACGGGAATGTCCCGCCACCTTCTCCACGCTTTAACGACTGAGAGCTGAGGTGGCCCGCCCAGGGTCACCCGGCCAGCATGGGTCAGAGGCAGGCTCCGCGGGTCTGCACTGACCGTCGCTGTTACCCGGGCCTCAGTCACCCCATCTGCAAATGGCCGGGGTGCAGACACAGCGGTGTCTGGGGTCCTTTCTACGCCTAGGTGAAGGATTGTATGAGAGTGATGCGCAGTATGGAGAGGGAGCCGGCCTCGGGGCCAGGGAGATCCGAGTTCAAATCCGGACCCTGGCATATTCTAGCTGTGCGCCTGCCCCCAAAGCAAGTCATCCGACTGCTCTGAGCCTCAGCGAACTCCTCTATAAAAGGAGGAGAACAAAAGGAAGCCGTCCGGGATTATCGCAAGGATGAAAAGAACTCATAAACGGAGAATGTTTTGCAAATGTTCACGCGCTACAGAAATGCATGATGATTAATTACTGATCATCATTGTCGCTGCTGTTGTTATAGAGTGAGCAATGAGGCACAACAAGGCGAATGGAACGGCCTTCTCCCTTCCCCAGGCTCCTCGACGGCCCGGCCGGGGCCCTAGCGACCCCAGAGGAGGCCTCCCCAGCTGCCCCACAAGTCACACACACACGGGCACATGCGCGCGTCTGCTCCTCTCACCCACCTGGACTCCATGGAGCCTTGTTTCTCAAGGGGTCGGACCTTCTTTGGGTAGACGGGCAAAGAGGCTGTGTTGACCAATTTGGTTTCTCCGTTGCTGTACGTAAACTCTAAGATGCCGTTCCATTCACCCTGGGCCTTGCACACAACGGTGTTGGTGGGCTTGTGTTTCACTTCCGCCGTGACTCTACGTTCGATCAGACACCAAAGTCAATGCACCTCCATCCCCCTCCATGGGAAGGGCCACGAGGAAGAAAGACCACAGGACCTAACCATGCTGGATTTTTTTCCAGATTCTATCACTTGCAAATCATCCCCCTCAGCCGTGCAGCTCCCATGAATAGATGACCCAAGGATCGCCCCACCAGTATTTATGCAATGTCGGGAGACTGGGAGCAAGGCTCCGCCATCTTGGGTGGAGATCCCCATGAGGATTACAGTAGGACCCAATGGGCAGATATGGAGAGGTTGTAATCTGTACCACTGGAAGGACTGCCTACTTTGATGAGAACCCAGACCGACTGAAAACCTGATGTCATTTTCCAAGCTAAGAACCTGCTATATTTTAATAACAAAAAAGAAGGTGAAAGAGAAGTCTGATCCTTTCATTAAAAAGTAATAATTCACAGTTTGGGTCAAACATGGGCTCTATTGATTATTTGTTATCAGTGTGACCTGGAGCAAATCCTTTTATCTCTCTTGGCCTAAGGTTCCTTCTGGCTCTGTTCGTATGACCTCTCTGGGCCTCAGTTTCCCTTTCAGTAAAGGGAGTGGGTTGGCTTACACGGCCTCGAAGGTCCCTACCAGTTCTAAGTCTCTGATCCTATGACTTCTCTGCCTATTTCCCTCTCTAAAATGAGGGAAATAAGGGCAGCTAGGTGGCACAGTGGATAGACCACCAGCCCTGGAGTCAGGAGGACCTGAGTTCAAATCCAGCCTCAGACACATAACATTCACTAGCTGTGCGACTCTAGACAAGTCACTTAACCCCAACAGCCTCACCAAAAAATAAGATAAAATAAAAAATAAAATAAAATGAGGGGGATGGGTTAGATGGTCTCCCTTCCAGCCCGAGAGTTATGATTCTATGCTCCTGACCAAGATCATATTGAAAAATGAGGGAAAAGATGCAGTCCACACGCCTTGGCCTCAACACACAGCCACAGATCAATGCCTCTTCTGTCTCAGCCGCCGCTCTGGATGTGAACATGAAACCTGTCTTTAAAGACTCTTAGGGACCTCTCTGACCTTTCGCTTCTTCTGCCTCTCTCCCATCATCTGCAGGAAACTCTAGATTTAAAACAAACCCATTCCCAAAGGTCCTTTCATGCTTCTCAGATCCCCTGGGGACCCAGGGCATTCCAAAGTGGCCCCGTGCAAGAGGGAGGCGGGCTCTTTCCACCAGCTGCCTGAGATTCCATCAAGAGCTGTGTGACTCATGCCTGGCACTCTCACTGAGCTCCAGGACCCCCTCCATTGCCCCAGAGGTGGGCTGACCCCCAAGCAGGGACACAGGTCCCCCCTCCCCACCAAGTTCTCCGGGAACACAATGTGAGCCTTAACTGGCTTCTGGCTCCGCACAGTCGTGTTCACTTTAACTCCACACAAAGCGAATAAATACCTTTCCGATCCAAAGGGCAGAAGCGGAAATGCACGTATATAAATAGATTTGCTTCTAGGAAGCTTTTTATAACGGGAGCAAAGAAAGACAGTAGCTTTGGTTCCTCCCCCTCCCAGTAGCAGATTTCTCTGTGTCTTTTACTTACTTATTTTTTTACACTCATGGTCCTAAAACAGAGGGAAAGATACTGCTCTTCACCTAACTTCCAGCCTCCTGGTCATTAGAAAGGGTCACACACGAAAGCCCCCAGCCCTCCCGGCTCCCCGTGAAATCTTCAGCAGCAACAACAACTAAAAAAAAACAGCTATTTCTCTTTTCTAGAGTGGTTTCCATCACAAATACTGTAGCCACCTGGCAAACGTGATTGTTTACACCCAAGAGGTCTTGCTGCATTCCCTTAACACACTGTACACTCACTGGAGGCTTGCATGATTTCACATTTGTCGTTGTACGCCCAGTGCCTGGAACGTAATAAACACTTGCCGATGAAGACCCGCAAGCTGTGACTAGTTCCTAGGGCTGCCATTCACCCTGAAATAATTCCTTTGTATTTGTTTTGTATCTATTATGAACTTACTTAATTTGTAGACCTGCCGTTTCCTCCAGGAGAACATAATTTCTCTGAGGGCTAGAATGGGTCCGTTTGGTCACTGCATCTCCAGCTAGCACCCCTAGCCTTGTCCCTGACACACATTAGCCACAAAATATGTGCTCATTAGATGGAGTTGAATTTAACTGAAATAACCACAGGGTCACTCGTGTCCGTGTAAATTATAAAAGAGTCACACAAATTGAGAACTGGTCAGGGGCTTCCAGGCCATCTAGTCTGACCTCCTTCTTTGAGGAAACTGAGTCCCAAACAGGTAAAGGATTGACCAAGGTTACAGATTTAGCAGAACAGGGATGCGAGCACGATGTCATTTGATTCCAAATCAATCAATACTTATCAAGCACCTACTATGTACCAGGCACTCTGCTAAGCTCTGAGGATACAAAAAGAGGCAAAAGACTGTCCCTGCCTTCAAGGAGCTCACAATCTAATGATATAATAACAATGAAAGTAATAATAATTATAATAATAAAAATAATAGCTAACATTTATATAGAGCTTACTAAGTACCAGACACTGTGCTAAGTGCTTTATTCTCGTCTATGCTGAACGGGAACACGTAAAGAAAAAAAAAGAACTGCTCCATATAATTTTACAAGGGAGCAATTTTCCCAAACCAGGAGGAAAGCGCCCCAAAGAGGATGACATTGATAATAACAATGGCCAGCATTTACACAGTACTTTACAGACCTCAAAGTGCTCTCTGTATTATCTAATTTGATCCTCACAACAACCCTGAAATGTGGGTTCCATTATTATTCCCATTTTACAGATGAGGAAAATGGGGTTGAGAAAGGTTATGTGACTTGCCCAAGGACACGCAGCGAACGAGGATCCGAAACAGTTATCAGGCCTTCCTGACTCCAAGTTCAACGCTCTATCCCTGGCTCCCCTGAGCGGCTTCAGGTCTCCGACCTTCACGAGCAAACGCACCGACCCAAAGCCCCTACGAAACCGCATCTCCACCCATTGAAAGTGTATTTCCCCTATCTGAAGAGCAAATGGGACTTGGCCAGTCGGGGGCAAAGCTAGGGAGGACGTGTCCTGCAACTGTCTTCTGTCCCCAAAAGTTCTTCAGAAAAGGACCCAAAGCCTCCCAATGCCTTCCTTTACAGAGGGCAGAGACTCCCTCCACCTTGCCCCGGCTGCCCCGCCTGGCTTCAGCTCCATGGAACAAGAAGACCCCACGCCAGGGGCCCTGGTCCCCCTCCTCTCCTGCCTTCTCTCCTGTCATGAGACTGTAAGCTCCTGGAGGGCAGGAGCTGTCTTTCTTTTTATTGCTTCCTTAGCATTTAGCACAGTGCCTGGCACACAGTAGGAGTTTCAATGTTTATTGGTTGCATTAGAAAAGACCAATGTTTTATCATTAAACTTTGCTGCACCATCCCTGCCAAAAAAATAGCCCCACTTTTCCCTTGACATAGAGCTGACCACGAGAAAAACCAACCACAGGCTTGGCCAGATCATGGCAAGAGCCCCTCTGTCCCTCAGGGTCCTCATTAGGACCATCAGTTCTCACCAAATGATGGTCTAGAATTGGTCTGGTCAATCGCTTCACCTGTTTGGGACTCAGTTTCCTCATCTGTCATATAAGAGGGTCAGAGTCTCAAAACCCCTGACCAGTTCTTGATCTTTTATAATTCAGATAGATGCTAGTGACCTTGGGGTTAATTCAATTCAATTCAATTTAATGGGTATGTAATGCAGGACATCATTGCCAGAAAACCTCTCCTTCCATCCCCACGATATTGCACTATGGGAACCATTAGCCCTATTTGACAGATGCGGAAATTGAGGCTCCAAGCACTTCACTGGCTTATTTGGTCACTGAGCTTCCAAGTGTTAAAAGCCAAAGGCCTTTAAGGCAGGATTCAAACCCAGGTCTCTTCTGGTGTTAGCTCCAATGCACTTTCAGCCAGCCCCTGCGGCATCTCAGAAAACAGGGGAACCTGGGCTCTAATTTCAGTGACTCCATGACCTGACCCGGAAAGCCTGTGTGCACACACACAGCCCCCACACCTGCAGCATCTCAGCAGGTGAGCCTTCAGGCTGGTGGAGAACCCTGCATAGACTGGAATAGAATGCAGCTGCCTGGGAGTGTTAAACAGCTAATCCTTATCAGACTTCCACAGGTTGGAGCAGGCATCTACGTATGTATGTATGTATGCATGCATGCAGAGGTCTGCTACAGCCTGTGGGGTCTGACAATCTCTCTCTGTGTGTCTCTCTGTCTCTTTTTTTTTTTAATAGGCATGCAGGGTTAAGTGACTTGTCCAGGGTCACACAGCTAGTCAGTGTCAAGCATCTGAGGCTGGATTTGAACTCAGGTCCTCCTGATGCCAAGGCCAGAACTCTATCCGCTGTGCCACCTAGCTGCCCCTGAAGGAGGTTTTCAAATGCAAAAAGTGCATTTAAAGTGCAAAGCACCACAAAGGAAACCAAAGACGAAGATGTCCTTTTTTCCCGTCCAAGTTCCCAGAGCCCTCGGGAGTCTGCGGACCCCAGGTAAGGTCTCTGAGGCTCCCTCCTGCTCGACCATCCTCTGATCCCAGCATGACTCCTGAGCCTCCAAGTCCCCCCTCCCCCACCAGAAGGCACGAGCTCAAATCGCGTGCCATTAATTTAAGTAAAAGAAAAGGGGGTTATTAAATCCACCACACACACACACAAATTACGATGGAAAGGACTCTGGGAAGCTGGGCGGCTCAGTGGATAGGGCGCTGGGCCTGGAGTCAGGAAGAGCTGAGTTCGAATCTAGCTTCCAACATTTACGAACTGTGTGACCTCTGCCTGCCTCAGTTTCCTCAAATGTAAAATGGGGATAATAACGGCAGCGCCTACCTCACAGATTTGTTCTGAAGATTGAATGAGATACTTGTAAAGTGCTTAGCACAGTGCCTGGCACACAGTAAGCACTTAATAAATGCTTACTCCCTTTCCTATTTCCTTCCTCCCTTCACCAGCTGAGTTTCGTTCAATCATTTCAGTCACACCCAACTCTCTAGAAACCCATTTGGAGTTTTCTTGGCAAAGACACTGGGGCGGTTTGCCATTTCCTTCTCCAGTTCATTTTACAGAAGAGGAAACTGAGGCAAACAGGGTGAAGTGACACAGCCAGGGTGTCACATGACTAGTAAATGTCTGAGGCTGGATCTGAACTCATGAAGACGAAGATGAGTCTTTGGGACACCCAGCCTGACGCTCTCTGCACCACGGCGCCATCTAGTGGCCCCCATCAACTGAGAACTGCTCAGAATGAAACAAGGGCCTGGCCTCAAAATTGGTAACCACCAATCGCCAAGCTTTCTCATCCAAAAGAATTAACTTCTTGGGTGGATTGTCTCAGATAAGACAAATTATGGACAAAGAAAAAAAAACTTTACTTTCATGTCATTTCCATAGAATAAACTCATAAAAAGCACCAAAGAGTTTATTTGATTTCCAGTTTGAAAGAAAACATTGAATTCTCCCACAGGGATGGACCGGCCAACGTGGCTGGAAAGGTGCTGGCAGCAGTGTGGACGGGGACTGGAAGACTGGCCTCAGGAAGCCCTGGGTTCGAGTGCCGCCACCTCCCCCAAGACATCTATTGCTGTGTCACCCTGGACAGTGTTCCAGGCCCTTCTCCAAGACTGTGCACTAACACAAGGCGCTGATTTGCATGAGCAGAGGGTCTCTCCTCGCCCAAAGGCCCAAACGTATGACAGGAAGCAGTTAACAATCAGGTAACTTCCCATCGAGAATATATATTAGAGTCATAGGATGTAGAAACTGGGGGGAAAAAAAACAACCACCCAGAACGATCATTTGGTCCCTTTTGTTTTACAAGTGAGGAAACTTGAGGTCTGGTCTCTGATCCTAGCATTCCCCCAGGAGCACTGGGTCTCCACTTCCTCATCTTTAAAATGAAAGCACTGGACAAGATGGCCTCAGAAGACTGGAGTCTCCTCCACAACAATCCACAGAACAGGATAACTTCTATCAGTGCCAGTGTCCTCGATTCTTGCCAGCTGATGAATATGTGAAAAGGGTATCCCAAAAGACTCACAGTTAACTAAAGAGACTTGGATATGAGAAAGGTGAAAAAAAAAAGACGGCCTTTCATGAAGGGGCTGGCAGAAATCCCTGCTAACAAGATGATTCATCTTCTCCAGTTAAATAGGAGATCACGCATCAGAATACTTACCGCAAACAATCTGATCTCAATTTCCATTCTGAGGGACTCAGCAGCATTTGGCAAACGGATGAGAAGCAATTCTTTCCTAGGCCAACTGGGATCCCAGCTTGAATGGAGCAGAGGAAGAAAGGATGGGCAGGGAGGGAGGGGACACAGGATAAAACAATGTCTGGGCCTTGGGGAAATGAGCTGGAGCCTGGCCCTTCTAGTTCTCCTACCTGTGGATTTTGCCTCCGTAGAAAGGCTTGGTGTGGAAGGTGACTAGCGCAGTGTAACCAGTCTTGGCGCAATCCATGGTGACTTTCCCGCCAAGCTCCACCCATGGGATGGTCAGAATCGAGCGGGCATATGCGCTAGGCAGCGTGAATACGTAGTCTTCCCCATAGTCCAAAAGCCGCAGAACGCCTCATGGGTGAAAACATTGAGAAGAGTTAGAAGTGGCCTCCCCAAAAGACCCAGAACTGTTATGACCCATCCATTCACATGGATGGTCAGTGCTCTCTAAAGAATAAAATTATTCTGCGGCAGCTAGGTGGCGCAGTGGATATAGCACCGGCCCTGAAGTCAGGAGGACCTGAGTTCAAATCTGACCTCAGACCAAACTCTTGACACTTACGAGCTGTGTGACCTTGGGCAAGTCACTTAACCCTGAGTGCCTCACCAAAAACAAAACAAAACAAAACAAAAAAAAGAATAAAATTGTTCAAGGATGGAGAATCTGAGGAAATACTCTTTCGCTATTTCAGGGAGCTATAATTACATCATGTGGGTATTCTCTTGATCCATGCAGATTGCAACCCATTTATGACATAGTAGTAGTAATAATAATAATGTTAATAATAACAATAATATATAGCTAGCATTTATATAGTGCTTTAAGGCTCACAAAACATTTTATATTTTCTCATAACAACCTATGAAGTAGATGCTATTTTTACCTCATTTTGCAGTTGAGAAAACTGAGGCTGAAAGTGATTAAATGACTTGCCCAGGGTCACCCAGTAACAGTTTGAGGGTGGATTCAAACTCAGGTCTTCCTAACTCAAGGTCTACTACTCCACACATTACACTACCTAACTATAAAAAATACTAAGTGGTCTTTCAGAGTTGCTATGTCTGATAAAGGGCCAGCCCTGTGGCCAGCTTGGTGGTGAGCCCCTCAGAACTCAGCTAGGCTTGTTTTAAGAAGACAGGTTGGAAAGCCCATCGCTGGGCTTTCTGCCCACTACAACCAACCCTTTAGGCCTTATCTTTCTTTTTCTTTTTCTTTTTCTTTCTTTTCTTTCCTTTTTTTTTTTTTTTTTTGGGCAATCGGGGTTAAGTAACTTGCCCAGGGTCACACCGCTAGTGAGTAGCATGTGTCTGAGGCCAGATTTGAACTCAGGTCCTCCTGACTCCAAGGCTGGAGCTCTATCCACTGTGCCACCTAGCTGCCCCTCTTTAGACCTTATCATGGTACAGAGTTCTCTCTGTTCACTCTGGGGTTTCGAAAGCTAAGCCTGCAGAGCTCCAGCAGATTCCACCAAGTCAAGAAAAAATGTCCCAAGGAAGGAGACAGAAAGAACATCTGACGTCAGCAGAGGTCACAATCGGCTGCAAAAGTAGCCCTAACCCATGTATTTCACGTTTGTCCAACCAGCCCACCCATGGCTCCAACACCAATGGCTTTCGTTAAACAACGTGATTCATTACCAGATCATAGTCTTGGAGCTGGAAGAGGCTTTAATTAGAAGAAACCATCTAGTTCAAGCAGTCAGTTTGCAATTTTACAGATGAGGAAACTGAGGCCCAGATAGGTCAAGGTAAACCACAAGGAGAAAGCAGCAGGGGTGGGGAACCTGCAGCCCCAAGGCTACATGTGGCCCTTTAGGTCCTCAAGTGCGGCCCTTTGACTGAATCCAAACTTCATAAAACAAATCCCCTTAATAAAAAGATTTGTTCTGTAAAACTGGGACTCAGTCAAAAGGCCTCACCCAAGGACCTAGGAGGTTCCCCACCCTTGAGTCAGACAAATATTAAGCACCAACCAGATACATGTGCTAATTATCACTGGAGATACAAAGATAGAAAGACCGAAGACCCTGCCCTCTAGGTGCTTACCATAGGCTAGGGACGAAGGAGGTGAGAGGAGAACAGAGAATGATGGGAAAATAAGAAAGCAAAAAAACAACATGTAGAACACGACAGGGCCAGAAGGTGACTAAAGGGGAGAAAATGCTTTTAGCTGGGCAGGATTCCAGGAAGACTTTATGAAGGGTGAAGTATCCAAGATGGCACCTGGAGTAAGAGGTGGATTCTGGAAGGCTGAGATGGGAAGGGAAGGGAAGGCAGCCCCGGCACCAGATCCTCGGAGACCCTGCCAAGTCACTGAACCCAGGCTCTGAGACCAGACCAGGCTCCTTTGCTCAGGCCATCTTCCCACCTCTCCCTCTGGAAAGGTAATCATTTCAACCCTACCACCATTTCTGGAAGGGGTATATCACACAAACCTCCCTTTTATGTGTGTCATCTTCCCGATTCAGATGTAAGCTCCTTGAGGGCAGGGGCTGTTTATTTATTATATTTATATTTATATTCCAAGCAAGGTGCATGGAATAAATCAATCAATAAATGTCCTTTCCATCCATCCATCCATCCATTCTTGGCAACCAAGCAACCTGTGCAAATACATTGAGGCGAGTGAAGGCAAGACAAGATTAGGGAACAGCTAGCAGTCCTAGCAACCCAATTTGCCTGGGATGCAGAGGATGATGTTTTTGTTTTCTTTTTATAGGTGCCAAGGATTTGGGCGTTTGGGGATTTTTTGTTGTTGTTGTCATTGTTTTTACTGTTTTGTTTCATTTGCATTTTCCTCTCCTTACCTTTTCTTCTTCCAAAACATTGTTCGTTGGGTGCGTTTGGCAACTGGAGGGATCATTTCACGCGCTACCATTTAAAGACCAGAAAGACAGTTATGCAGAAGACATAGCGTCTTCCAACTCCTTCAAGGCCATAAGAAGAGACCATAAAATTACAATGAGGGATTCAGACCACACACCAGGAATTCCTCAATGGTAGCAGGGATGGGGAACGAGCGGCCTCGAGGCCACAGGTGGCCCTCTGGGTCCTCAAGCGCACCCCTTTGACTGAATCCAAACATCCCCTTAATAAAAGGATTTGTTCCGCAAAACTTGGACACTGAAAAGACTTCAACCAACCAACCAATCAATCAGCGAGTCTTTACTCGGATACATCCTCGTCTACAGGTCTTTAAAGCAGGATCAATTCCTCTTTGCCTAAGATGACTTAAAAGTCATCCCCACCAAACTCTGGTGTTTCCGTAACAAAGGAGAAACAGGGCAGGGAGGACAACTGTCGATGACCTGTCAAAGTCTCTTCTTGACCTTTTAATTCCATCCCCGCTATGAAATGAGCTTCTTTTGGCATGTCCACACTTGACCTGCCCTCCGAGTCAGTGTGACTTAAGAGAAGGATGCATCCCTTTGGGGCCCTTTGTAAATTAAAAGGGATAAAAAATCCCTAGGATTTTACAAAAGGAATTTGACCATTAAATCACCCAGCAATAGTCTTAGTGCTTACGTACCCCCTTTTCATTATGTTTTTTTTTTAATCTGTCCTCATCTGGAACATATATAGAAAACGTATTTCAAATCACATTCATCAAAAGAACGGCAAATTAACACTCTGTCTTAACTGGCACCCATTCTGAGGAAGCTGAAAGAAGACCAATTAGTCAATCATGCCCATCTATTGTCCCGGGAGCCTGCCCTTGGCATTTCACGAATTGCTTTCACAGTCAGCAAAATTGCCAGCCATTCAAAGATTCAAACTCATTAAGTCGGAGAAAATACTGAATCCAGTAACCAGTCATTCCCTCGTCAGGTGGCAGTGAGCAAAAACCTTAATTAAAACAGGACCTAAAGGAGAGCTGTTCTGGTTCCTGTGACCCATCCTGGATCAGGGAATTCAGATGCCGAACCTCAGCGCAGATGGTACTTCAGAGGTCCCCTTACCCAAGTCACACCCAAACGAGAATCCCTTCGTTGGCGGGCCAGCCAGCCTCGTGGCTCTGCAGCTTGTGCCGGGGAGATCCTCCTGCCTCTCCCCTGACAAACCCACCTCTCTGAGACTGGCAACCCCTCGCTCCCAATCCAGCCCTCTGGGACCAAACAAAATGAGTTTAATCCTTTCCTCCGGCTCAGTTCCTCTGATAAAGGAACCTTCTTCTTGGAGGGCGGCACGCCTCCATGACATCCGAAGACCTGAGTTCAAGTCCTGGCTGTGCTATCTTGGGCAAGCTATTCACCTGTCTAAACCTCAGTTTCCTCCTCTGTAAAACAAGGGAGCTGGACGAGATGCCCTCTCTGGTCCTTTTGGGCTCTAAATCTATGCTGCCAAAAGACTCATTCCACTCTGGGCTTTTCCTGGTGTCGGTGCTCTCCCCCTTGAGATTGCCTTTCATGCATGTGTGTATGCGTGCATGTATGTACGTGTGTGCATGCGTGTGCATTTTTGCATGCACATGCATGTACTGGGGTACATGGATCATAACCCCAGAGTAATTGTTTGATTTTTTTGTCCTAATGTCCTAGCACCAGCGCCTGACCTACGTTAGATGCCTAGGAAATGAGTGGTGAATGGACCAGGGGATGGTGATACTGAAGGGGCCTTTTCCTTTTCATGGGGTGAATTCCATTCCTCCTGTTCCCCAGACACAGGATCAGGATCATTTAAGAGGATGAGCCATTTACTCCCTCACTGATGGGAATTCAGGTTGGAGAGATTCAGAAGGCAGGGCATGAGCCGTAGGTCTGCGGGGGGGACTTCCCGGAGACCATGGAAGAACAGTATGGTGATGGCCAGGTCACGTGACAAGGAGCTCCCTTAGTGATAGGCGCATTGGGGGAAAGGGCGACCCATCACTATGTCCATGAGAGTGGACTCTGATGTCGGCAGAGCTGAACACGCTGAAGAACTGAGTTTTATCATCTATTGAGGGCTGCGAGCACATACCACAAGTGGTAGCATTCGCCATTAAATTCCCGCAAACGCTTCAGGGTCCCAATTCAACAATAATCAGAAAGTCCTAGGAAAATAATTACTAACAATAATAACATTCATATAGCGCTTTAAGGTTTGCAAAGCACTTTACATATATCTTATTTTATCCTCACAACAACCCTAGGAGATAGGTGTTTTTATTTTTCCCATTTTACAGATGAAGAAAGTGAGGCAAACAGGTTAAGGGACTTGTCCAGGGTCACACAGCTAAGCGACTCCAGACCCAAGGTTCTATCTGCTGTGCCTCCCAGCTCCCACTGTGTGAAGGCCACCACTGTTGGATGAATTATGGATGAGAATCCCACAGGATGAGATGTGAGTGAACTGTGATGGACACCATTCTC